CTATAATGGAAGCCGAAAATGAGGACACAGAAAATATAACTTTATTCTGGAACCTCTTTAACGAAGCTTTAAAGAAAGTTTCAGAAAGTGACGATGCACGGTTCAATCCCGTGGGGTGGTGCACCGATATGGCTGCAGACGCGAATCAAGCAGGGCTTACAGCAGTTTATGGTAGGGACGTGCTAAGACGCATAAAGTCGTGCGAATTTCATTTTAAAGACCACAGGAACAAAAAGGCACAGAAGTTAAGTGAATGATGAAAATGAAAGACGAAATGATGCAATTTGTCACCGAGACCCGTCATAACAGTGTCAAGCAAGCTGAATGATAACATGTGTGAAATGACAATTTTCAAAACTTGGATTTATAAAGAGAAATTTTTCTTTGTAAAGTTCAAGAAGTAAACCTTTTTTGTCTCGTGGTGTTAGTATTTTGATTTTGCATGTTTTTCCGTGGGCTTTCACAATTGAAAATATTTTGGCAGTTGCACAGCACGGGCAGAATCTCTTAGAGCGATGTGGATATCTTATGAAGCCGCGATTGTGGTAGTAATGAAAATATCAAATAAAGATTCCGTTGACGCGAAAGGTAAAGCTGCTGCGATTGGTTTGTTAGCAAAAGTTCTCCGCGTCGACTTTCTGGTCAGTTTGAGGTTCATGAGGATTATTCTCTGGAAAACGAATATCCTGACGGAATCGCTCCAGAAGGAAGAATTAAATTTAATTGATGCACTAGAATCATTGAATGGCACTGTGAAGTCTTTGGAAGTTATAAGAAATGATGACAAAGAAATTTCAAATCAAATTCAGGCTTCAGTTGAATGATATGTTGTCGGGAAAAGAATGAAAGAACATTCAGCAAACGAAAGGAAGTAAAAACTGCTTTGCGTAATTCCATGTCTGATAATCGATTGCACCGACCTAATTTTGTTGCGCAGCGAGAAAGATTTGCTAGAAATATAACTTTATTCTGGAACCTCTTTAACGAAGCTTTAAAGAAAGTTTCGGAAAGTGACGATGCACGGTTCAATTCCGCGGGGTGGTGCACCGATATGGCTGCAGGCGCGAATCAAGCAGGGCTTACAGCAGTTTATGGTAGGGACGTGCTAAGACGCATAAAGTCGTGCGAGTTTCATTTTAAAGACCACAGGAACAAAAAGGCACAAAAGTTAAGTCCGGATAATATGGCTTAACGGTATCATAACACGGCCCTTTGAAAATCACGTAAGTGAAAGGCTACCGTGTCTAAATACTTTTAAATAATAATAATAATAAAATAATTTAAAGAACTGTGTGACGAAATGATGAAATGCAAACCGTCACCGAGACCTGTTATAACAGCGTCAAGAATAGGTTGATTATCTTATTTCAAGCAAAGAGGAACACAAGTTTTTGAAAACGTGGTTAGCATGGTGGCACGATAGGAGGGGATTTATTTTCCGTGCTTTTGCCCCTCAAAATGCACCTCGAATGAAGCAAGCTGAGGTGATTCACGCTGGCTGGTCCCACAAAGACTAACCGAACATGTCGCCACTCGAGTATTGATTGTTGAGTAGCATTGTTAAGATCGTAACTTGTAAAATATAATTTGAAGAACCAACGTGTTAGTTGTGAATCAGCGTGTGCGGACAAATTCGCTGTCCTCAATCTATAACAGTTTCCAAACTTAATATCAAATTTCTCTACTTGTTATTTTTTTACACCAATGAAACTGTTGAGAAGTAGTCAATGAGAACAATTAACTTAAGGATATCATTTTAGTCATCGGGACTGAGCGACAATGATGCGCATGAAGTAATAAAGTTAGGTGATGAGACGCACTGCACAGAAATGGGAAGCAAAATATGGGTAAATTAAGGGATCTGCACAAAACCAGTTGTCAGTGATAGAGTGTCATAGTGTGCCAACGGAGCAAACGGTCTGTGACTCGAGACACCAGACATCGATATACAAACGTGAACTTTGGGTGAAGATTTTAGTATTTTATTTCATTCTTATTTGTTAATTAATATATTTTATAAAACCCATTCGAAATTGCGTGAATTTGAGACTTGTCGAGGACTAAACGATAACTGAACGGAGGCTAATTCTCGACATAGTTAACCAAATATGTGTCAATCAATTTATACGTCATATGTTATCAAATATGTGGGGTGGTGCATATGTATCTCGCGAGGGAGAGAATTCTGTAGTCGCGATTGTGAGAGGGTGATTTATCGGTGATTCGAATAAAAAGATTAAAAGATCATCCACGCCAGGCATTTAAAAAATTTTCAAGCGATATTAGGTGGATATGGGGCGGGGGTTGGTGTATGAAAAATGTACTAAAAGAGTTGATCTAATGATGGTTGATCTAAGGCAGGAGTGCTCATGGATGATTTTGTATGGCAAGAAACATGTGGGAAACACTTCACATTCGACGTATACCACCATCGTCGTCCAAAGATGGAAGAAGAAGCCTATTGGCTATGGTTAGAGAGACAAATGTAAAAACTTAAAACGGTTCCACTTTCCAACTTGAAAGAAATTGTAAGAGACTTTTAACAAAGAAAAAAGAAAAAGATGGCGATGTCAAGACTCAAGACGTCATCGTTGTTCTTTGACATTGGCTTAAAGTGTTGGGACTTGTCGCTCAAAGAACGCAAGATGTGTTTATACGTTTGACGAAACATTCATAATTACCATTCGGTGTTCAAAGGAACTCAAACGAAGTGGAAGAGTAGTTTCTGCGACACGAAACCCAGTCTGCAAACAGCCACCGGGCATTGGAAATTCAAACACACATACAACACAACGACACTGAAGAGAATTGTTGGACTTTGTATCAGTTTGCTGCCGCTGAAAACATTAATTCCATCATTAACTCCACCTTTATATTTTACTTTGCTATTAAATGGTAAAAATAAACATTCGATAATGGGTTTAAAATGATCACATTTTAGTTTTTTATAGCCATGAGGCGATTAAGCAAAGCCATTAGTTTAACGGTAGGCAAAGCCATTAGTTTAACGGTGCAATTATTAATTTATTATGAATGTTTGTAAGAAAAAGCCTGCAAATTCTTGTTTTCGTATTAAATTTATAGAAGTTTATTTTTACGAAGTGGCTATTCGTACTGGAATAGTACGCCAAGTGTGATTTGCTATTCGTACTGCATGTTGATGTTTATATCTTGAAAGAAAATGGCAAGAAAGAAAATGACAAAACAAATGACAACAAAGAAAATGAAGACTTACCTAGTAAGAAATCAAAGGAAAACCTTGCCACAAAGAACTACAAAGGACATGGTCATTCACAAGAAAGGAACCTACAGTGAGGTCAGGAATTTTCTTCATATTCTGAAGTTCCAGATGCATTAAAAGCATATCAAGACATAAACTATGTGCAATTTTACAAACGAAATTCGTTAGGTATTAAAGCAGCAGCAAAGATGTGCCCAAAGAAGAAGTTTAGTCCTGATTTGCATTACAGTGAAGTTGATTTCCGATGTGTGCACGGTGGGAAAAATTTCCAGTCCCAGTCTAAAGTAATCAGGCCAAATCAACAGTAAGTTATTATGTGGCATGCGCTGTATGATTGTATGTCATCTGTTAATCGAAAGTTTTAAAAAGCCTGAAGTTTGTGGATAGTTAAATCAAAATTTGGTTTATGGCTTGGTTTATCAACCTATAATTTTAGTATAAATGCAAGGCAATTGTACTTTGACGCTTTTAATGTCCTCAGCTTTGAGTTGTCCTGCAGTGATTAAGTTAATATCACCAGGCGATGGAAGAAAGGAACAAAACCACAAAGTGAATAAGGTATGAAAGTATGCCAAGAATAGGTGACATAAATAAATCCAACAAGTGAGGCCATAATTGCAATATTATTTATACTGTAGAAAGCCTTCGAACAGCTTCCAGCACAAAGACGAGTGGGAGGGGAAACTAAAGAAGATGTCTTAAAAATCTTGGAAATGAAGGCTAACAAGAAGTTGATTCAAAACCATATCCTTCACTCTACTGGAAAGTCTGTGACACTTAAAGACATACACAACATGGTGGGAAGAAAGGATGGAAGCCTAAAGGAATTAATAGAAGACATGAAAAGGCAACGTTAAGGACGTGAAACTGCCTCCAAAGATGAAAGTTCGGGGAAGGCCTACAGGGGCAGAATTGACAGCAATTGGGCTTCCGAAAAGACGAAAGATCAGTGGTAGAAAACCAACTTTGTTCATCAATAAATCTCCAACAGATGAAGCAAATCACAATCGGCGTATTGTTCCAGTACGAATAGCCACTTCGTTATTTTTATTTTAAAAAAAGGCAAAGCAGGTAATATATATATATATACCTATAAAATAGTATTTGGTAGCCATGTTAGATCTACAATGCAAGCTTTTTGCATGTCTTTCACCGCTATGAAAAACTTAAATCACAAGAATATCTAATTTTGGTTTTAGCTGAAAGTTCTTATTTGACATTAAAAGAAACATCACATTCTTCTCCCACACTGTTGTGATGTTTCATGTATAATTCACGCCTTTTTTATAAAACATTTTGGAACTCATGGAGCTATCAAGTATAAAACTAAATGACATTTAGCCTTCGTTTGGCTCTATCAAAAAACCTAGGAGAGGTTTCTTGCAAATGTTTTTAAAAACTGTTTTGTCTCTTGCAAATGTTTTTAAAAACTGTTTTGTCTAGAAATTTAAATAGATTTAACATTTCTGCAAGCGTTTGTAATACACAGCACCTTAGGTCAGTTGGAAATATAGGGAAAAACTTTGTCAGTGATGCAAATCACAAGATTTTTGTGATTAAGTTGCACAGCACCGTCAGCACATAAATCATAGCTACATTTTTTACAGTTCCTTTCATTTCTCAAAAAATCTTATTTGCTTTACCTTCTTCACTTGAATTGACTTGAACATGCTTGAAGTTCCACTATGAGATGATAACAAATGTTACAGGTTTTGAAATTCTGGAAGCTGACCATATATTCAGCTTCGATGCTTTTTTCCCATATTTTTCTGCTTTATGAATTTCATTCTGCCAACTTGCTTTCATCACAAGACTTTCATCATTGTACTCTCTGTGGCTACTGTAATATAATGGATAAAAAGAGTTAATATACATGGTACTTAGTTTCCATCATCACTTTATACTTTAAGCAAAGTTTACTGTATTATTATATTCTCATTATGGTATCTGTTACATTTCTCACAATGCAAAACACTTGATAGGTCATTTTAGATGTCTTTTTATTCCTTAGCTATGCAGTGAAATAAGTAGCAAAAAATGTATTGTGCATAGGTGGAAAGAGATCAACCCATGGCAGAAATTGAGGAGGGGGAGGCTACCTAAAATGTAAAGTTTAACAGCATATAATTTATGTATTATGTAAACTTTTTTGGGGGGAGTAAATGTATAAAGGACTGTTGTTAAAGAGGGAGTAACTCCTCTAAAAAACATAGACACCCTATTTAAATCAGTGAGATAATGTTCTGCATTTGGTGAATGTGCCTGGCAGTTTGGGCAGGTGAAAAACTGGAAGCCAGCTAGAGAGTTTGGACATAATTTTGACAAGAAATTCAAAAAGAATCTTTGAAAACAAATTGATGACATTTAGGGCTGATTTTTTTCTAAGGAGCTGGCAAGTGGCAAATTGTTTGAATGTCACCTATTTGGGCAAAAATAACTAAGAGACTTGTGAAAAAGCCAACCTTACCTTACAAACAACTTCAAGCATCTTCACATTCATCTTGGTGTGCCACTCTGAGATGAAACCACAGGAGACTGTGACAAATATTGTGAACTTGAACTAGCCGAGGAAGATGGCCTACTACTTGTCTTTGGCTTAGGAGCTTTCGCTAGAATTCCTGGCATCTCTTTTTTTTCATCGTATGTTTTAAGTATCTCATAGAGTTTTAAAATCTCCTGGGTAATTTCCAAGATTTTGTCCATGTCCACGCAAAGTTCTTTGAAAAACTCACTAGGATCTTTATTTTTGACAACACAAGTCATGTAAATGGCCGCAAGAGAAATTTGGTAGGGAGGGTAGAGAAGGCAAATGTCCGTCCTCAAGCTGTCATTAACAATTCGCCATGCTAAGGAGAGAAAACTGTCGTCTTCCGGCATTTCTCTGACATATTGAGTTAATGACCGATATGGGTGATATAGGATTAGACAACAGTTCATTGTTTCGAGAATAAAAAATTCACATTCATAGACCTGAAAATAACATAAGGGTAAAATTAATATCAAACAATATGCAATATATTATTTTTAATTGTGCATATTTTTAATATGGATATTACTTTAATTGAAAGAACTGTGAATCACAATGCAGTGCTTATATTTGGTATATTAACTGATCCCACAAAGGTAAGTAAATAAAGACTAAGGGTAACAAATAAAAGATACAATTAACATATATTTTTGCCAGAGGTTGAAAGGGTCTTTCGAGTGGAATTATACACACTTCAAATTCAAGCCAGGAACAAGGAACAGTTGATGGAAAAATGAGTCAACTGTCGGTCCTCCCGCAGGAATCGAACCTACGCTTTTGCTATGCCGGTGCAATGCTCTTGCCACTGAGCTACAGAGGTAGCTGACAAGACTAAGTGTGGTTAATTGAAGTGTGTATAATTCCACTCGAAATTAAGACCCTTTCAACCTCTATATTTTTGCCAGCATTTCAAGATTTAGTGTGCCAAAAAGTTACTATGTGAAACTATTATTTGTGGTTTGTGTTATTTTAGAGCTGATTTTGTTTAACCTAACCAAACTACACATTTTATTCAGTGTGTGTATTTTTAAACTTTAAAGATTGCTGACATACAGAGGTTACTGTAATATGTACCTCATAACCTCAATCCCAGTCGGCCAGTCCCTGAAAAATAACAATTTTAATGGCCATCGCCAAATATCACGGTTATGTAACACCCTTTACCTTCCCCACCGACCACTCCTTCCCCACCGCTGAAACGTTTGATCTATTTATTCTAAAATTATACTTGTAAATAGATCTAAGCTCCTGTTTTTTTGTCGTGGAATGATCGTAGATACATATTGAACAAAAAATCTGGATACAGTTCATCATACCGCAATTATATGTCTAATATTCTATAATAAAACGAGTCACGCTTAGACGAATATTAACTAGCATAAACCAAGCAAAAATACAAACATACCTGGTTAATTCTGTATGGATATTCACAGTTGAAGACAGCCATAAATTTATTCTTCAGAACAGTGGCGCAAGTTTGAATCAATCTGTTATTCGAGATCACCCCATTCTCCTCCACTTTCGATGCTAAATACAAACAGGTCGGCGCCAACAGCAGCGGATCTATGTTCTTCAACGAGTTCTTCGAGTAAAATCTCTTGAAATACTGCGTTGCGGCCGCTATGACTTGTTGACGATGCTTCAAATGTTCGCCAAGCGCCTGAATGAAGTTCGCAAACAGGATGTGAATTTTCCGATATTCTTCTTGAGTTAGATATTTTAAATCCTCCTGTCGGCCGGCTGAAGTGACAAGTTCTTCTTTCGTTAAGAGCCAGTATTTGTAGTGAGTGGAAAGCCAAAAATTCGCAGCCATGTTGTTGTTTTTAAAACTCGTCGTGCAGTGAAATAACACGAGGTGACCCGGCCGCTCAGGTCAGTGAACGAGCAGTGAACTGGTGACGAGGTAATTCGATTCCCCAGAGCGAAGCCTGCGAGCTTATTCTTTCTCAGAGGGTGAAGGGAACTTGTTAGAGACAGGGACTTAATTGAGAGGGGGCTTATTTAGTCATCCATAAAATCTCGGATTGTTTTTCCTCACTAAATCCAAGTTTCGAAACTAGTTACGGCACATTTCACAGTCATAATGCACTATTTCTCGTTTTCTCTTTCCCACTTACCACTTTGGGAACACGTTACACGTACCGGAGCGGACACCTTGGGGACGAGTTTGAACTTGTACTTGCCAGATAACCGGCTTATTTCATCAATTATGAAATACATATTTTATTACTACACATTCTATTTTAACACACCACATTAAAATTAGTTACGTATACTGAAAACACCTAGTAGGCATCAGGGATGCAGGGAACTTGATTTAACTATTTTAGGTCATGTAAGAAATGGCTATTATGGCTTTCTCTAGGGGAAAGGTAAAAAGGCTCCTACATCGACAAAAAAACTTTCACAGAAAATTACGTAATGTTACGGATTACGTTATTACTCAACAACCATTTTTTTTAAAATTATTTTAAGCCAGTGTTCTGGGAATCAAACCCAGAAGCCACACACGCGTTTTTATCACTATTAACCAACGTGTTCTGGTTACGCCCCAGACACGGACACTGTTTTTAAAAGACCAAACAAAAGGAGAGAAACCGGAGTTTCACTTGCTTCACTGCTCCACCATTCCAAACAGTCGTGTTCTTCCTCAACAAAATCTCGACAGTGGGGCGTGCAAGAAATTTAAACAACATAGTCTTAAGTGTGTCAAAATGCGAAGGGTTTTCTTAAGAGAGGTTTTCTTAAAAGAGTTTTTAGGCAAGAGCCGGTACATGTACCATATTAACCTACAGTTTAAACACAATATCCCCAGAAAACCCTATTTTTCAATCCAGTTATCATGCAATGTAATATGCCATGTAATATAGGAGGTATATATTTTCCTTCTTATATACAAACTTCATCAAGTTGGTCAAAATGATTAAATTACGCTTATTTGAGATTCATGTTTGAGATTGACTGAATTTTCAGAGCTTAATTATACTGCAATCCGAAAAATTAATACAAACAAGGGAAACAGAAGAGTGCTAGTGTCTAAACATCCGATAATATTTTTTACTTCATTTCAAATCAATAATTCGAATTTAAAAAGTTTAAAGATTACAGTGTATAGTTTTTGATGCCACTGACAGACGGTCCTTCGAGACGGTCGCATTATAAACAGCCTAAATAGATAACTTATATAATCATATATACACTCTGGATTACCTTCGTATTAATCTAAAATTAGGCTAATACGAATTCTATAATTTTTTTCGTTGCGCGTGCACGTCGACCGTAATAATTGCAGGTTGGTTACTCTAATTTCAACGTTAGCTCAACAAAGCCAGGTGGTCTTATACAAAGCCGAATATAAAGATTTAACTTTTTCATTGCCATTATTCAATTGTTTCATTGTTCCATTGTATTGCTATGAATACGGATGGAAAATTTTATAACGTTTTTCAAAGCAAACGAAACTATAGCTACTAGTTCTTGGACTCATGACTTATTAAAGCGAACTGGACAAAATTGAAAGTGCTTCACTCCAGCTAAAAGAATCCAATTCTTAACGTCCTTGCAATGTCGTCTTATCCCAATCTCGGTTTCACTGCTTTTTATGTCCTTTCGCTTTGAGCCCGTTGTCTGACCGACTCGCGGCGCTCCTGGTAGTACACGCAACACAGCAGCGTCTCGAACTCGCCTGCGTATTGCTTGTTTGAAAAACAATATATGGCGGGATTGAGGCACGTGTTCAGGAAGGCCAGAATGATCAGCCCGTCGTGGAGTTTGTTCCGTAAATCGACCAACCCCAGCTGAAATAGGAAGAAGTAAAATTGATCCGGCAGCCAGCAAACTATCACGATGGCCGACGCAGCGCAGGCGATTCTCGTGAGCCGTTTCAACGAGGTGTTCGAACTTGACTGCAAATATCTGCTGAGACCCGTTGTAGAGTTGGAGTTGGTTTCATCTTGTCCTGCCGTTGAGGCCGATTCGCGGTCGTTCTCCACAACGATTGAATCGTTCCTTCGTAAGTCTACCAGCCTAGGAATAATCCGGATTACTTGTTCTTTGCGTCGAAGTATGATTTTTGAATAAACAAAGATCATCAATATGGCGGGGAGGACAATCATTCCTACATTGGATACACGGATATTAGATGTGGAAAATGAGTAAACGAAACGTTTTTTGGAATTGATTGATTTTTCGTGTGTGCGATGCATCTGTGGTATCAAAAAAACCTCTATTTATATAGAACCTCTATACTCAGAGCCCACTCACATGCGTGACGTCAAATATGTCCCTCGTTCCAGTTTCCTTATTACCACGGACTTGTACCATCACAGACCCCAATTTTGAGGCGTTCAAACCCGCCAAAAATTCTTTTACCATAATACTCGGACACATGCATGTGTACTTTCAATGGTGTAAAAATCGCACTTTGTGTCAAGGGCACTTTAAATAAAGGGCAGAATACTATCGCGCATCGCATTTCATTTCATCTCATCTATTGTGCATTTGTTTGCCAGAAACCTTTCGGCCTTGAAGCTTTTATCTGGCCGCAAGGGGGGAATTAAGTGAGTCAGCAAGTGATTGGGATTCATGATGATCGTTTTGGCAAGTTCCCATGAGGTTTCAATCACACTGTTTCAATCAAGTATTTAAATAAGAGTCAAATAAGCTATGAGACACTCTGCCTCTTCAAAGTTTTGAGAAAGTTGAAGTGTATATAGTGCATGTTGCATGTCAGTTTTTGTGCCAACCTTTTTTCCAAAACGATTCTATGACACTTTGCAAATTGGTATGCTATCGTCATATCTTTTGGAAGACGAATCTAGCCTTATCTAGGATGTAACTGTAAGGGATAAAAGAATCACCCACCCTTTACGTTAAACTTTTAAGCTTACTGCTGATATGAAAGTCTCGTTCCCAATTTTTTTCTGAACCTGGTGTGTTTCGATTGACGTACCTGTAAATGTGACCACTGCAATTATTCCGCCACTTGTTGTGGTATCAAACTTATTCCATCGGCAAATGTAAGTTCCATTGGCATTGGCATTGCTCTGCGCCAAATGGTTCACGTTGAGCGCCGTATTAATCTCAAACCCGAAGCCTGCAATCCATGGAAGCGTTACCATGATCACGATGGCTCTGACCGACGCACTGAATCGTTTATACGACACTGGCCTGAAGACGGCAAACCATCGGTCGAAGGCTAACATTAGGCACGTATAGATAGACGTGATGGCAAGGGCGAACGGAATGTATCTTGACCAAATGACGCTGCAATACCACCGCCCCAAAATCGTGCTCTGAGGCACCCTATAAATGTTTGATGACTGCACAAATCCGGGCAAAACGAGGATTCCGATTGCGGTTAGGACGTCCTGGACGGCGAGGGCCAATAGCAAGCAAGAATGAACCTTTTTCAACCAATCACGCTTCTTCAAAAGCAACATAACGACAAGCAGGTTGCCGACCAGAGCGACTACGGCAATGACAGTCAAGAAAATATTAACAATCATCTTCAGGAATGGGACGTGCGATGTGGTATATATAGTCTGTTAAAAGAGAGACCGTTCCAAACTACTACTAAACAAACTTCGATCGAGATATTTATCTACGATTGAAGTGACAGCAGAATTGAAGTGGACGTTTTGTGACCATGTTTTCTTTTCAGCGTTTCCCCTATCTTTTTTCGCGCCAAGGCTTACCGTTAAATCAACTTTAATTTTCGATATGAATCGTTAATAGGATGAGAAAGCACTTTTATCTGCATTTAATCAGCACCTTCGTTTGACATCCAATTAAAACTTCTCCCTGCCTTTTTGGCGCGTCCCGCCTCGGAAATGCTTTACCGCCGGCCGTTTCGCGAAATTCAACGAGACTCTCAAAAATTAGCAGCTTAATACACACGCAGGAAAGACAACATCGCGGAAAGGACTACCCTAGCTTATATCATATCGATATTCCACGGAGATTCTTATAAGATGTATACTGATGCAACATCCGCAGCTTTTATTTAAATTGAACACTTTATATCACTTTGCAACTTTATTGCAAGCTGCAATATCTAATCTATCATTTATATTGGTAATGTAAATATAATTAATTTAAATTTTCTAAATTCATAGGCCGACGTCCATCCACTTCCCATCCATGCAGAGACAGCAGTTTGCAGTTTGTAGCACTGGGTGGCCATTAATTGGTCTTTTTGGGTTTTTATATTGGAAGATAAAAAGCTACCGTCAGCTCGTTTTTCACTATACGCGAAATTGTTCGCGCGCTTATCTTAGCATGCACTATATCATATTAGATGCTGTACATATGCATCGACAACGCACGTCGCGAAAAAATCATGACGAGTCAAAATGCACAATCGCATGGTAATTTGACTTGAAACTTTCCATCACAATTATTTTATTATCTCTGAAATAGAATCACGGAATTCTATAATTTCCCCCACATTAGAGAAACTCACTCGTTGTGAGCAACACAGCCGGAGGCCGGTTGTACAAACTACAAATTTGTGTAATGAAGGGAAAAGTATAAGACTAATTTTTTTATCACGAAATAAAACAAATTATATACTTATAGACATTATTACAGCAATATTGTACACAACAATATGCAACTGCACATACAACGTATATTCAACAATTCAGAGTTCATCAAAGAAAAATTGCTCGTCCGACTCCGTGCGGGGAAAAAAACAAATAAAATTCGAAAATAATGTGAACTTCATATTAATTTTCATTAACATATATATTTCGAAAGCTGGTTTTGCCGGAATAGACTTGACTTTACCGCTGATTCAATAGCATCTCTCGTTCTAAAATGATTTCTCCAACACGGTGAACCTATCTTAGGTTGAATCGGACCTGATTCTTAGTATTCTGGTTCGGTTTATAATACTTTTGAAACGTATTGGAAGCAGGTGGTGCGATTATCACCCACTTGTGTTGCAAGGAAACTAAATGTGGATATTGCATGCGAGAATTGCAGAAGGTGTTCCATTGAGTCGTCTTTGAAATTCAAATTACCATAATAAAGTGATCTGATTGTTCTAAAAAGACGAAAACTTGTCGTATTTACCAGAGAAGCAATTAATGTTAAGGCGATTCTCCATTACGTCTGCTCCGCGCGGACGAAGAGCGCTTTGTTTTTCAGGCCCGTCACGGTCGCGTCGGCTTATTTTTAAAGGCCGCTTCGCCTGCGCGGAGAAAGCGGACGATAAGAGGGGACAGGCGGGGGGCGTGCCCTTGCCCCCACGACTTTGAGATGTTTCCTACAGGGGTCATGCATGTATCTCATAGAAATAGTGAAATATGCTGGAGGATTGCGATCGAGGAACCCTTCCCGAAATTAGACACGTTTTGCACAGCTATCCTGAACTGTGCGTTCTGTGATACTCCTAGGGACGGTTGTATCAAGCCCGTTTAGCTTAAACGGTGGATACGTCTTGATACAACCGGCCCCTGAACAATAAATACACGTTGCTCTGTCGTTAACTGAACCGCCATTTCTTCATTTTGCAATCGGGGGGGCTCTGGAACACAATTTGTGCGAAACACTGCATATTTCTGAGCGTTTTCCGATCGAGTGCCATTAATAGAAAATCTTTGTTTCACAGCTCGCTAATTGATTCGAAGCAATCATACTTGTCAAACTAATTCAATGTAATATGGCTTTTTGGGACCGGACATCCAGACCCAGTATAGATGATCAATCGACGATATTGACTGGAATTTCCACTTATCTAATTTTTACTTATCTCAAATGTGTTGTGCCTTTCAGGGAAATAATGATACAAAACGTGCCCTTTGTTGTCATGCACCAGGCTCTTACCGGGAGAGAATAGAGGCAAATCCATAGGTCAGGAACAGGTTAAGTGGTCACCCCCCTTACACCTACTCAATGCGCAAAAATGCCAGTGCTCTTATTTGAAAGTAAAAGTGCTTTAGTTATAATAATCGCTATCCCGTCAGTGTGGCACAAAATGGTAGTAATGCCGATGCATGTTTAAGGTTCGTTAAGTCCCGTTTACACTTGCAAATTTTTACTTCGATTTTATGTGCGATTTTCTTCTTTTGATAGATGTGAACGAGTGAATTAGTTACTGATGTTCAAATAAGAGCTCTTATATACATCAAAGCATTCGTAACTAATTACTCGTTCACATCTATCAAAAGAAAAAAATTGCATGCACATAAAATTGCAAGTATGAAACGAGCCTTTAGGGAGAGACTACAATACATGTCAATAAATTAAAATTTGTTTTTTCCCATATATACACAATCATTACATTTATTCTTTGTCTGTATAGTTTACTATTTATGACACATGTCAAATGTGGAGGAAACTTGATAACTGATATTCGAATTTGACCGTTATATCTCATCGAAGCTTCAGTCTCGAGTCCCTCCAAAGTTTTCGTATTTTTAGTAAATGAATCTTTCCGGCTTACGATGCCCTCCGATGTTTTTTTTAGCTCTGTTATGTAATTTATGCATGCATGCAATCTACATCAATAAACGCAGCACTGGGAAACCTAATTTTTTAAGCTCTGTGAATAATTTTTTCGTTAATCATGCATGCACATAGGGGTGATAACTTTGTACCCAGTTGCAACTTTTGACAAATCTGTTCCATGCGTTTGACCGCCGGAAGACAAGTTAAAATTCTTTGTTCTAATTTCTTTCGCTTTACGTTGTTTAGTTCAAGGCTTCTTCTGTGCTTTCCATTACCTTTCATACATGAAACTTGCTAAAATTATGCCGCTCCTTCCAAATTATGATCGACGGCGGTCTCTTCAAAATTCGACTCTTGTGATTGGCGACCATATTTGCAACACAGTATAAGCTTGAACTCTTCCCTGTACTGTTTGTTGGAAAAACTGTACAATAAAGGATTCAATACTGTGTTCATAAAGGCTAGAATAACCAAAAAATCGTGCGAGGGCGTGCCAATCTCGACCACCTCTAGTTGGAACAGGCAGTAGTACAGTTGGTTCGGCAGCCAGCACACGATCACTATCGTGGACGCGGCACAAGCGACGCGGTTGAGCCTCCTTAAATGGGCGAATGATTCTGTAGAATTTGCTCCGAGACTCTGATTCCTGGCGCGATTAAGGCCTCCATTGGCCGGCCTAACTTTATTCGATGAGCGTCTAAGTTTGATGATTATCATCGTGTAAGCGATGGTTATCATTATGGCTGGTACCATGATCAGGCCGAAGAAGGTTACCAAAGCGATTGTTGTTTTCCTGGAAGAGTTCTCTGTCTGCCTCCAACTGCAGACAAACGCACCATCGACCTCGTCCGAGCGCACATTCAGTACGGCGGTTACTTCCAAGCCGAAACCGGCAACCCAGGGGAAGATCAGCATCGTCGCGATGACCTTCGCCGAGTTGCTGTATCGCCTGTAGGACATTGGTTTCAAGGCGGCAAACCAGCGATCGATCGTCAGCATCACGCAGGTATATACCGAAGTGATCGCCAACGAGAACGGTATGTAGCCGGACCATATCACGCTACAGAATACCTGACTCGCTGCTTGTCCGTCAGGCGGACTATACACTTCGAGATCTAGCACAAATCCAGGTAGCACCAACAGCCCAATCGTTGTCATGATGTCCTGGATTGCCAAGGCAAGCAGGAGGCACGTGTGAGCTTTCTTTAGCCATTGGCGGTTCTTTATAAACATTATTACCACAAGAGTGTTCCCAAATAATAGCGCAAGCACGGCTATGACGGCGAGAAAAACGGAAAGAACGGCCTGGGCCATGATTATATACAGAGGCAGTATTAACTCGATCTCTTCCAATGTTCCGTGGCCCAGTTTCGACGGCAACAATTCGAAAACAAACTTTGTAATACCGTCAAAGTCACCGCTTTGTTTCAACGATTCAAAGTTTGTATAAGGAATTAGCGAGCTTTCTTTAAATACCTCGTAATGACTTCTTTAAACCTAGCTTTGTATATGCACACGAACAAACTTCGACGAAATAGGGCAATTTTAGGTGATATAACTGATATTGTGTCTTCTTCTTTTTATGTTCAAAGTATATATAGTTTAACTGGAATAAAATCTTGAATACTCCTTATTTTGTCACCGCACTTCGTTGCAAAACTTTTCGCCTCATTTATATTTAAACTGTTCGAAACAATGTTGGTTTGAATTCACTTAATGCACGATGCCTGATAATCAATTCTTTTATTTCTGTTTAGTAATATTTCCGTTTAAAAACGTTCCAATTATTTGATTCCGTTTTCGTTTTCCGTCTTGATTTCTTCTTTAAATTTTTTCAGCTATAACTTCCTCTAATAGAAATGAACTGGCAACTTTCTAAATTTGGAACAGTTTTAAGCGAGTTAATGTCAAAGCTTTGCTCTACTTCTGACACCTTTGCCTTTGGTCTTTGCTGTACTTGCTATTTGACGGCTTTGACGGAGGCTCTTAAGATGAAAAACCTCACTCAGTGTCCTTTATAAGCTAGTGAATTTCTCCTATATATACTCTAAATCCAGTTTGAGTCGATCATATACGCGATGCCATATACTTCATGCTTTTCATCAAGTTCCAGTCTGTCCCGAATCTTCGTTTCTAATTGAAATAACACTTGAACGATCCAAGTGGTTCTTATACTTTGCCTATATATAAGGAATGAATAAGTTACAATGACTTCAATACGGGTTTTTGTCTACAGGATAAACTTCAATTCACTATATACTCTCTGATTATATTATGTTATAGCACAAACTTAATTCGCGCTTCTTAATATATTTAGTCGAAATCTTTGTCATCTTTTTCACGGTGCGAATTTTTCCCAAGGCGTATAATTATACCTTTGATGGCTCTCGTCTGTTGAACACAATATATATCTGAAAAGATCCACACAGCCACCTACGATGATTCCTCAAGATTCAAAAATCGGAGCAAATTTCTTCAACCCGGCTAAAACAGATGCTGGATAACTGATAATAGGCTTTCTTCTGCGTGGTTACTGTTTGCCAATTCGAGGACGGCTCAAAACCTTAATTCTTGATAATTACAACGAAATTTTTTATGAATTTGACGCTAATTGTCTTCTTGTCATAATACACATGTCTCAAGGATGCTAAATACATTCGCATTAATGCGTAATACGTCTGGCAGATGTGTTTAAGATGAAGTATAATTTAACAGTGCTTTGAAGTCTTTGAAACTGGCCGCACGGCCAAATATATTTTGATAGATTATCTATTGGCGTAGTTAAAAACCTTGAATCAGGCGCACATTTGTCATGTATTTTAAATGAACGAAAGAATTTTTTTTAATTCAAATATGTTGACGACGCCGGACGCGACAATTTCAGTGGCATATTTTCGTATAATTTTCATCAAAATCTTTTAGGAACTTGCATGGAAACAACCTACAAGATATTGGAGACGATTAGAGCTAAACCTCGTTTCGGCTTAACCTGATTTTTTTGTTCATAACAACATTTCCGCGTGGATCGTGGTCAATAATCCTCAAAAGAACAAGTTAAAAGTGTCCAGACGGTTGGCAACTCAGGGTTAAGTAATCGAGCACACGGTCTCAGATTAAATCGATTTAAAAGATCCAAGAAGAAAAAATATGTCCTTCTTATTTGAATGAACGTTCAGCGCCGTTAAAAAGTCCGCTTACAGATTTTTATTATCTACTCTAATTTTTACGATATTTTCATAAAAATATGCACGCCCACTATCAATTCGGATGTAGGCATCAGTCGTTAGTATACCTATGACCTCATACAAATTTAGTTAGTACCTATGACCTCATACCAAAACGTTCCAATTATTTGATTCCGTTTTCGTTTTCCGTCTTGATTTCTTCTTTAAATTTTTTCAGCTATAACTTCCTCTAATAGAAATGAACTGGCAACTTTCTAAATTTGGAACAGTTTTAAGCGAGTTAATGTCAAAGCTTTGCTCTACTTCTGACACCTTTGCCTTTGGTCTTTGCTGTACTTGCTATTTGACGGCTTTGACGGAGGCTCTTAAGATGAAAAACCTCACTCAGTGTCCTTTAATAAAGCTAGTGAATTTCTCCTATATATACTCTAAATCCAGTTTGAGTCGATCATATACGCGATGCCATATACTTCATGCTTTTCATCAAGTTCCAGTCTGTCCCGAATCTTCGTTTCTAATTGAAATAACACTTGAACGATCCAAGTGGTTCTTATACTTTGCCTATATAAGGAATAAATAAGTTACAATGACTTCAATACGGGTTTTTGTCTACAGGATAAACTTCAATTCACTATATACTCTCTGTATATATTATAGTTATAGCACAAACTTAATTCGCGCTTCTTAATATATTTAGTCGAAATCTTTGTCAATCTTTTTCACGGTGCGAATTTTTCCCAAGGCGTATAATTATACCTTTGATGGCTCTCGTCTGTTGAACACAATATATATCTGAAAAGATCCACACAGCCACCTACGATGATTCTTCAAGATTCAAAAATCGGAGCAAATTTCTTCAACCCGGCTAAAACAGATGCTGGATAACTGATAATAGGCTTTCTTCTGCGTGGTTACTGTTTGCCAATTCGAGGACGGCTCAAAACCTTAATTCTTAATAATTACAACGAAATTTTTTATGAATTTGACGCTAATTGTCTTCTTGTCATAATACACATGTCTCAAGGATGCTAAATACATTCGCATTAATGCGTAATACGTCTGGCAGATGTGTTTAAGATGAAGTATAATTTAACAGTGCTTTGAAGTCTTTGAAACTGGCCGCACGGCCAAATATATTTTGATAGATTATCTATTGGCGTAGTTAAAAACCTTGAATCAGGCGCACATTTGTCATGTATTTTAAATGAACGAAAGAATTTTTTTTAATTCAAATATGTTGACGACGCCGGACGCGACAATTTCAGTGGCATATTTTCGTATAATTTTCATCAAAATCTTTTAGGAACTTGCATGGAAACAACCTACAAGATATTGGAGACGATTAGAGCTAAACCTCGTTTCGGCTTAACCTGATTTTTTTGTTCATAACAACATTTCCGCGTGGATCGTGGTCAATAATCCTCAAAAGAACAAGTTAAAAGTGTCCAGACGGTTGGCAACTCAGGGTTAAGTAATCGAGCACACGGTCTCAGATTAAATCGATTTAAAAGATCCAAGAAGAAAAAATATGTCCTTCTTATTTGAATGAACGTTCAGCGCCGTTAAAAAGTCCGCTTACAGATTTTTATTATCTACTCTAATTTTTACGATATTTTCATAAAAATATGCACGCCCACTATCAATTCGGATGTAGGCATCAGTCGTTAGTACCTATGACCTCATACAAATTATCAAAACACCCCAATCTTATCGCTGTACAAGTCAACAAAAACGGCATCGCTGATATCGTAGCTCCTACTGAATGCGATTTTGTCGCTTTCCACCCTGATGTGACGTTACAAACGAGATCTAGTGATAAAACAAGATGGCCGCTAGGAGTTACTTGTAATCAAAATTTTCAAATTGTTTTCAAACTTTTTAGCATAGCATACATTTGTACTTTTTACCCCTAATCACTCGAAGTTTAAGGTTTATCACGTTAAATAGAACGTTTTAACGACCGTTCCGGCAGAATATGATGATAAATAAACTGTTTTGTCGTTATTGCTTAAGTCTGATTTCCATTTATTCGTGAACAAGTCATTTTCACCGATGAGAAATAGTTCGGATCTACATTTGTCTTTAGTTCTGTATTCAAATCATTGTCAATATTCTATCGGCCACCTGACTTGTTTACGAAATTCACGACCGAATGGAAAACAAATACGCACGTTTCAAAAAAGTTTGAAAGTTGTATTAAGCAAATGTAATTAAAAATTGTTCAAAAAGCAAAAAGAATTCTGCAACGTCGCCCAACAAAACCATGCAGGCCACGGACCATGCCTGCCTATATGAAGTGGAACGCACCAAGTTCGAGTAAAAGAAGCGGGAGACATGCAAAATCTAGGCGGTCATGTGACCGTATTGTGTTACGTCTCCATCATTACCCCCAAATCAGCGATGAATCGGGCAATTTGTACTCGGGACTCGGCTGACTTTTGCTGAAATCATTCGGCCGCCATTAAAATTGTTACGCCCGAGCAGGTGTTGACCTTGGAATATGGCCCGGAAAATGGATGAAGTTCACGTGTAAGGTCCCATGGCAAGGTCGCACGTTTTAAAAATGCTCGAAAGTTGTATGAAGCAAATGGAACTAAAAAATGTTCAAAAAGCAAAAAAACTTCTACATCATTGCCGAGCAAAACCATGCAGGCCATGCCTGTATGAAGTGGAACGCACTAAGTTCGCGCGTAAAAGGAGCGGGAGACATGCAAAATCAAGGCGGTCATGTGACCGTATTGTGTTACGTCTCCATCGTTACCCCCAAAATCAGTGATGAATCGGGAAATTTGTACTCGGTACTCGGCTGACTTTTGCTGAAATCATTCGCCCGCCATTAAAATTGTCAGGTCCGAGCAAGTGTTGACCTTGGAATATGGCACGGAAAATGAATGAAATTCACGTGCAAGCTGCGATGTGCGTAGAGATATTGCATTAAGTAAATATATCGTTTTTCTATTTCCGTCTTCAGCGGCTGTCGAGGACAGATTTCGTCTGGCTATTAAAATGATCTAGCCGTTGAGAGTCTGACATGCAAGCTGCATTAAAAATTAATATTTGCCTAGTTTTATAGTCCTAAGCATTGCCCTTACACCTATCCAACTCATAATTAGGTTAAGGTTGAGATTCGTTGATTCTGAAAATGATTGCACGCAGGAGAGAGGAGAGTCAGGAGACCAAGTGCATTTCTGACTTCAGAGTGATCATCACATTCAACGCTGTTTTCTGCAAGTTTGAGTGGTGAATGATGTAATAGAAAGACCTAGGTGCATCACATGCAGGTTTCATGCAGAAAAAGGAAATCGCACTGAAGGCATCCCACCAAAAGTCGAATCGAAAGTATAACTAAACGGGCCTAAAATCATTACAACGGTACAAGCTTAGTGCTATACTAGAAGTGTATGAATGTATTGAAGTGCATCATTCTCTAATTATATGGATTGTATGCTGCTATAGAAAACTAAATTTATACGTCAATAAAGTTATTAAGCGAGGCTGGATTTAGAATCTTGATGAATACTCATCGGCATCATATGTACCAAACAAAGAGGAGCGCCATTATGAAGGAGATGGTCAACATAAGAAAATAACTTTTGTGCCGGCATTAACTTTTCTCAATGTTTTTTATTAACTAAATGCAAGCTAGTGTAAAACTATAAGCTGATATACCTAAACAAAATGGCGTTCATTTTTATACAGGTACACAAAATGCACGCATGTATATTGCTTACCTATGATAATATGTTCAAATCTTGAAAACTCAGTTGAAAACTCGATGACCGTCCAATCTGCATTATTGATGAGAAAAGGGAATCCAATAAATTTTATAGCATGCAGTGAGAGGGAATGCCTTTGGTTGTAAAGCCAGTCTTTTAACCTTAAAAAATGCTATATAAAGATGGCTCTAATAAGCTTACGTCGAATCAATGATCGTCGTCCCATATCATATCAATATGGTAATTCAGAAAAACAGGTTAATCACAAATGAGTTATCATACCTTCATTACCTTGTCATTAACCGAGCTGTCCTGAAAGCGAATATCACGGACGTTAGTTATCATTGATTCGCAAATTAACATGATTGCATTGTTAATTGCATGATACATTGATATTCCAGTTAATGCATTGTTAGACGAGCGTTAGGACAATTGATTTCATATTATCTTTAGTGTGCTTTCATTTTAAAAAGCACTTTGTTTTCTTTATATATCCTGATGCTCTTCCTCAATCAGACTGATTACATGTTGTATATAGAATTTTGTTTTCATCATGGAGTGCTCAGTCAAACTTCAGAGTTCATATATATATATATATAATATAATATATATATATATATGTATATATATATATATATGAAAATATATATACAATGCTTACTTTGCAATGCTTTGTACAATTAGTGGAGATGATCCTGCGACGACATATTGCAGGGAATATGAATTTAATGATTTTCAGTTCTAATAAGAATTGTTTAGTGGTTGGAATTTTTTTCTCTCACCCCGGCACAAGACCGCACGAACTCATTGTAGAACCGGCCACGGTAACTCTGTACGAGTCAACACATATAACTGCCCAAATTTTCATCTATTTTCGTCCCACATGTGAACCCTTGAACCGTGCAGAGCCCTTACGCGATATACGGCCAGTTGGCGCTCGTAACAAATGCTCACGCTTTTGTACAACACACTATTAACTGTTGTTTGAAGTCAAACGATAAAATGATAACGTTTTATATACAACTTAAAAAAAGTCGTGACAACGATTTACAACTTACAAAAAGATGAGAAGAAAACATAAAGCATGCATCAGGTGCAGACAACATGAGATAACTCACCGATATTGTTAATACAATAAAAATCTCTAGGGGGGGAAGCCTCTCCTGACCATGAGTGGGATGAAACACTAGCCCGACTAGTACCCTAATTATAATGAAAAAATCGTGCAGGGTAACAGAGTCATATTTTCCCGCCTCTGTCTCTCCCTCTCGACGTCCTTGCTGGATAAAGTTTTGAAGGGTCAAAGAATCGCTCTATTCGGCGAGCTTTTATTAATTCAACCAGAACAGAAATGGCCCATGGTTGTTGAATTATGCTGACGTGCGTGTCATAAACTTAGCCAAAGCACGTTATTCTTGTTAAATATTTCTCGTATGCTTCCTGTTGTACAACAGCTTCTAAAAAGTTAAATCTTTCACCCCAGCAGTTCAGTTACTTTTTCGTGTAATCGGCATAGCTGTTTAGGTATTTTTCAGGCAAAGCCAATCAGAGATCTTAAATTTATAATACTTCATGTAAAATGGTGAATAATGCACCCTTTTACCGGAAGTATAGTCTAAATTTATGTATTCTGATTGGGTTACTGAAAATGTAAAAAAACTTGCTGATTGGTCTAAAACGAAATTCCCCCTTGTTTCTAGCATCGACAAAGAAGAAATTGGCCTCGTTCCAGTCTCTTTGATTAACCCAAAACTAATTCATTGACGTAGTGAAAAACTAATGCCGGATGAGATGTTGCCTTCGACGTTGTACGATCTACTGGCTGTTTTATAATAATTATAACCATAAACCATTTAGTTATGTCCCGTTTCCGAGTATTGTTATGGTTAGCATCTGACTGCAACTTTTGTGATTGAAGCACTGTTAAAAACAAGCTTGAAATCCCGATGTTTAAAGATGCAATTTCGAATTAAACTCTTCCCCTTAGAGGCTATAACCAATTTGTAGAATCATAAGCTTTATATGATTTTTCCGGATACACAAAAAAAATTACCCGCGGTTCGTCTAAAGATAGCAATAAAAATTTAAAGACAATAAAATTTCCATATCAAACTCTTTCCCTATTGAGATGAACATTTGCTCAAACTAATGTCCAGTTTTTTTCTATTACAAAATGCGCGCCTTGTAAAACAATATGGTGTCTAGACCAAAGCGCACATTATGCAAACCTCAACGTTTTGTCTACGAATTTGCGGTTCGATGTGGAAAAAAATCATTTAAACGGGAGGCGAAAGACAATAACCTCTACGAAGTTGAGATCAAAAAGATTGATCAAGAAAATAAACGTGTTCGTACGCATTTTAAAGGATACGATTCGCGTTTTGATGAATGGCGACCCTATGGGTTATGGCAAAGTTAATATATTTCCCGTTTCTTCAGCATGAAAAGCCTCGTGTTTTGGCCGCCGCATCAATATAGACGATAGAGGCCATAATAACAATAACAATAACAATAAAACCTTTTGAATAAAATTCGCCCTTACACGCGCAGGTAGCCGATGTGAACGATATTAATGTCCCTTATTCCAGCATATTATATGTATAATATATACACAATATATCAATAAGAAAATCATTAATGTGTACTGCAGCAGCGTAGGCTATTGCCGACGCTATTTATTGCGCGCCGACGCAAAATATACACAACTGTGGTATTAAACAGTACTATATTAAAGCATACAAGGTAAAAATATAAAATTCTCTTGCCTGCTTATCTCGTAAGTAAACGTCGGGCCTCCATTCTGATTGTGTTCACATCACCAACAGCAGAGACTGCATTAATGTGTGAACAACATATGCAAATGCCGACCAATGTCGCAAAATACCTACAGTTCATGGCCATCGGTCCGAAGCTAATTCACGTTGAATATGTACGAAATTCATATCAAAATACGCGCCAAAACATGTAAATTTCAATTCCGAATGTAAGGAAAAGAAATATTGTATAGTGGAAGCAGTACGAGGAGTTTTCCCGCAACTTCCGCTCTAAACGGCGATTTTTGACCAATATTCTTATATAGCCCGCAACATTCAACCCCCAAAGTCCGACTCCGGGATACGACGAATCTTTACCAAAAACAATAAAGAATGTGCGGCATAGGTCTAAATTTAATAATCCGTGTGTAAGTGAAAGATAACTTCAGTTTCTAAGGCACACGAACAGAAAAAGCGCTTATTTTGGACGAGTTTGTATTGCGCACTGCTGGGGGTATCCTCGCTTGTAACGCGATATAGACTATTTGTATAGCGAGAGTTTGATATGTTATCTCTCATAATTATTTGCATTTTGATATATTTGCGGATGAATAAATTATGAAGCTCAGAATTAATGCATTTTGTACTAGCCAATAGGATTACAGAATCGTTTAGCAGATCCCTTGAGGATAAAATGCTTTGAGTGCGAAATCGATTGATGCCGATATGTTTGTATTCAGGCTGGCTGATGCCGATCTTTAATGTCGATGTGTTTGCATAAAGCGCCTCTTTTTGACTTTCTTGCATTTAGTTAAAAAGTGGGTAGCTACATCCAAACAACATGCAACAACCGGCTTAAACCTCGGGCAATGTTGGCGAAAATGACCTGGTATGGAATGAACACATAACATCCAAGAATACCGAGTGTGGACTCTGAGTGTTTTATGATATTAGCTGCAATTAAAATATTGTTAATTTGAAATTTTATTACAGTTTGGGAATTACATGAGTGCATGCCTACCTAAATTATATATATATATATATATATCAAAATTTAGAAAGGTCGTTATAGCAAATCAAGAGTGCACAAGCCGAAGCGTGCTTTATTTAAATTTACTGAGATAGTATGAGGAGCTACAAGCAGGACATCATATCACTATTGCTTACCATGATCAATTCCACTTTAGCTACATACAATAATATTCCTTCCCCTCACCGATTTCTCATTCCAGGCTTGGGACTGGACAATGGCTGGTTTAAAAGGAGGAAGGAAACCAACACACGAACATAAAAGAGATTTTATTCATGATATGAAGATGTGATGCTATTGTATTATATTACTAATGTGGGATTATTACTAACACGCATTCACGTGTTATTCACATGAGCGGGACAATCAGTCGCGAGCTGTCATACAAAATTTACTATAACGAGAGTGCACAAGCCTAAGCGTGCTTAATATCAAAATTTAGAAAGGTCGTTATAGCAAATCAAGAGTGCACAAGCCGAAGCGTGCTTTATTTAAATTTACTGAGATAGTATGAGGAGCTACAAGCAGGACATCATATCACTATTGCTTACCATGATCAATTCCACTTTAGCTACATACAATAATATTCCTTCCCCTCACCGATTTCTCATTCCAGGCTTGGGACTGGACAATGGCTGGTTTAAAAGGAGGAAGGAAACCAACACACGAACATAAAAGAGATTTTATTCATGATATGAAGATGAATATTATATTTTTATATTATCTTTTATTCACATCTTCATATCATGAATAAAATCTCTTTTATGTTCGTGTGTTGGTTTCCTTCCTCCTTTTAAACCAGCCATTGTCCAGTCCCAAGCCTGGAATGAGAAATCGGTGAGGGGAAGGAATATTATTGTATGTAGCTAAAGTGGAATTGATCATGGTAAGCAATAGTGATATGATGTCCTGCTTGTAGCTCCTCATACTATCTCAGTAAATTTATATATATATATATATATATATATATATACATATATATATATATATATATATATATATATATTATCTAAGTATACATATAATTTCCTATGTACATATTCCATATTGCGTATGAGCCTAATTTATTGTTTTGTACAGATCCGAAAGATCACAGGACCATTCTTTGCGTCTCTATAATATTACGACGATACATGTTCCTTCCACTGAAACAATAGGAATTGAACGCGCAACTGCTATAAATAAGTTAAATTAATAGAAATAATTAATAAAAACTAATAAAATAATTTCTTCGGCATACCCGTCCAGTGGTTACGGGGATGTATTAGCTGTTTTTTTCAACGGGTCTCCCTGACTGAACTAATTTATATTACTATTAAAATTAGTTCTCTAGGTTGCCTTCAAAAGTTTCATAAATTAGCCTTAAAAAATATTTGCACACCGAAGCAGTCGATCAATTTTCCAGCAGTAATTCTATATACGCGAAGATGGTCAAACATTTCCCCACCCCCTCCCGTTCGGTACCTTGCCGATAATTATAGATCTTTCCTACGCCAACGGTTGAATGAAGTAGGCTTTAATAGCCCTTGATTGGATGAGTTGAACAGTATTGTACTCGATGGAGATATCTCGTATAAAAAGGTTATTGCATGTAATTCCTGTATCTACCTCGTTTCAAGCTAGGAGTCAACGGAATGTAATACTGCATTGATAAACAGATGGTTTCAATGCGAAATTTTTATACGACGAATAAAGTTAAAGGTAATGGAAAGGGACTATGAGCAGTGATTTTTCGCTCGACACCTGCTCGGCGCAGAAAACTAAAAGGACACTCTAAAAACAACCGAAAACAAACAAGGAGACAATCATGCAGGAATGTCCAACTTTAAAAAACGGAAATATTTATCCCTGGAATTCAACAGGACCGCACTGAAAACATTCTTATCTTATACGCCGTATACTTTCGACCATATCACCTATTAAAAATGTTTGCATTTTGCAAAAGAAAACAATTCTACCGTTCGCGCTGCACGTAAATTTTTATCGCTCGCCATCTTCTGTTCAATGTCTTCTTTGCCCACACATGCATCAATAAAGAACAGTCGAAAATCGATCTAAACCCAAAGTCATATTGTTTTGATTGTATTGGTTTACCAAAAAGCCCAAACTGTTCTTCGTAATACGATTTGCCCGGTGGGAATTCTTAAGTAACAATTTTGTTTATATTAGATCGCCGTAATAATGTAAACGTTTATGGCTCTTGGCATCCCGTAAGGATCATCCATTGTTGATACAGTGTCATCACGCGGAGAAGTGGAAGATCCGAATCAAAATAATTTTGTTTATACTAGATACTCCCGCTACAGTCTACGTAGTGATCGTATATCGAAGGATTTTAGTGATTTTACATGATCGGATGGTCTGATTTTGCATTATAGTTCTTTATCAAATTTCAGCTGTCTTCAGATGTGAAGTAACCTAAACTATAAACTTTTATTATTTATCCCCGAGAGGTCGAGTCGAGCGAGGCTTATCACTATCGATCCAGTGTCATTGCATTAATTCGTCTGCGTGCAGACGACTATATGATCCATGCAGTTGTATGAGACCCGTTTTGCTTTAATGGAGCTTTAAGTGAAAATTAAATAACACTCCCATACCTGAACTGTCTAAGCATTACTTTAATTCATCTTAAAGGGTTCTATAAACTGTTCTCCCTTCAGGGCCACCGCATATTCAAAATTCTGCATGTTAAGGCAACTAGAAACAGCATGTAGGATTCCGTACGCTGATTAAAATCAGGGAATGATTCCAATTTTAATTGCGTTCTTGAGAAAAAATCCGCAAGCTTGGAAAAAAACCTCCTTTTTTACACCCTGCGAAGATCGAACGGACCGACATTAGGCTGATGACCGTGGACAAAATTTTTGCTCCTTGTCGGAAGACTGTTGGTTAAAATATCAATCGAACGACACCGTAAAGTGGATTTTGTTTTCAAGTTTTGTGTGGTCGTGTTGACGCTCAGTCTTAATATATAAATTATATGCAAATTAGGTTACCGAAAATTTATGCGATGCTCAAATGGGAAAACGCAATCTGGAAGTTGTCAATACTCCTAATTAGGCAATTCAAATATGTCAACGTTTATAGCTTCAAAATGATCGACGTTTTAAAGTCCTTTTTTTTAATTCGTTGCGTAAAACAGTACCTACATTTTGGCATTAACACAAATGCGTGTCGCCCCTGAGAATAAATAATTTCCACATCTTATCTTATAAAAATAACATAGCGTAATCAGGGCAGCGAAACACATAATATTATCTTAATTCAATCCGAGACATTTAGGAAACGCTTGTCACTGCTTTTCAAGTACGCAGAACAGGTGCAACGGACTTTATAGGTTGTCGTTAAACTCGACTTGCACGTCTCCGAAGGCAAATGCTTCGGGTTTCGCCAGCTTAATCGACACAACCGAACATGGCGAACACACGGGCATGCAATTCGACCGCAATTCTAAACAACTCAAGCCTCGGCAACATCGTGAATGCACAAAATTCAACCAGGAGGGAAAATGCCTTCCAATTCGGTGGTGCACTCGAAGACAACCGCTTGATGAGCGGCCTGTTTATTTTTATAGCCGTACTTTCGTTCGTTGGCAACTTACTCGTCTTGGTGCTGTTTCTGCACAATAAAAAGTGGCTGAAAAGGACGTACGGGCGACTCGTGTTCGCGTTGGCTCTCGTGGACCTTTTAACGGCCGTTTGTCTGTTTGCGACACCGTTAGCCGTTCATCACGAGAAGCGCATGGAAAGACCAACAAGTGCGATAGCAAGGGAAATGTATTGTCGGCTACTCTGGTCGCATTACGTGCTCTTCTCGTTCGGCATTACCTCAGTGTACACTTGCCTGGTGCTGACGACCGAGCGCTGGATCGCGGTCACAAAACCGCTATACATTCGAAAGTACAAGCCATCGCGACGGACGTGTTTCGCCTGCCTCGCGCTGCCGTGGTTGGCGGGTTTTTTGCTCGAGGCGAACGTCGTGAAAGAAACGCGCACCGCGAATTTCGACGACGGCACGTTCTCGTGCGAGTGGAGAGCTCAGGAACACGCCGGTAAAACAACCCCGGCACTTCTAGCCGTGGTATCATTTCTCGGCGCAATGCTTATACCTCTCTTGATTATAACCGTAATGTACGCCCATATCTTGGTGACCCTAAAAAAACAAAACTTGAAGCGAAAGGTGAGTAAACGAATGACGTTGTTGGCCCCGGTTTTCCCTCTGCTCCCCTAAGCACGGGAGTATACAAGGAACATTTTCATCCAGAAATATTACTGTCAAAACTGAGGATTAAAATTCAATACTTGACAATCGAACCCAACTTCATTTTCAGGTTGTTTTTAGCTCAAGAGTATGAGTGATTTCGCCCGCGCATTGCGATTTACTTCCTAAAGGTCGACACAGACCGGACGCGATGCGGCAAAGCGACGCGAATTTTCAGTTTTCAGAAGCACATAAATCAATTTCTGGAAGCAAAATTTGGAATCTATGGACGCCAGAGCAGTCAAAATGTATTATTGTTAAGTAATCTACACGAATATTATGATAGTTTAAAATTTATTTGCTTTTGGAAAATTAAAAACTTTGAAAAATCGCGCCGCGTTGCGAAATCGCGTCCGGTCTGCGTTGGGCTTAATGGGGGAGGCACTACGTAAGAACTGGTCGCATGATCATAACCTGATAATGGCTATTTAATTCAAACTATTGTTAAATTAAGTATATCCGGCAGTCTGTATGTACGTATGCAGATTCTTAATCTTAACTGCACAACTCGACATCCCCCTTGTCCGCGCGAACTCAAAATCCCCCCCCCTGCCTGACACGCCATAATCATAAAATGAATGTAATATTGTAGCAAAAAGGTTGATCTCGATCTCGACCAATCTTTCGCTTTCGAAGTTTTCGCAGATCATATCATGATGTTGCACCGAACGGAGATAACATGACCCGATAGCTTTTTCTGACTGAGGAAAATAAAGATAACGAGCCACTTACTACGCCAACTTTAAATTTTCCATTTCAGAATTCGTTCATAGCGGAAAGCGTTCGTCCCACGTCCACCTTCTACAAACTGGCTTTGAGGCGTGCCACCAAAATGGCTGCGTGCGCAACCTTCGCGGTGGTCATCTGCTGGCTACCATGTCAGGCGTACTCGTTGGCAGCACAGTTGGGTTTCGCCCCTACGGAGACAACACTACACCAGGTCTTAAACCTGTTAGCATTCTTCAATTCCTGCTTAAATCCCGCTTTGTATGCGTTCACGAACGGCGTGTTCAGGAAGAAATTTTCAGAGGTGTTTACAAGACTGTCTTGCCATAGTGATAACCCTCCAGCCAACAATCTACCTTCGGCTCTTGTATAAAAATGCCCAGCAACTGTTTTGACAACTATATTGACATTCTCTCGTGCTAAGGCCAAGGTTTACAAACAGACATCCGTACGCTGTTCGGATGAAAACACTAAAACGCCGCCAAAACAAAATATTTAAACTTACAACGAAAATAAACTTGTCATTTGTCACATATGCATAACGTGCCATGTTAATTCAGGCGCGCTTTCATTTACTCGTATAGTTGTCGTGGGCATGTCAAGGTAGTGATTGATTGGAGCATTTTTATATACAGTCAACCATGACAATTTACATACGGATGATAAAGAAAAATATTTATCCGGCCTATTTTACATCGGTGAAAATGCCTCGTTTACGACAATGAAGACCAACTTATATCCCAGTCTAATTCTTCTGCTGATTTTAATAATTCTCAGTAACACAGTCAGTTCTACCTGAAGCCAACCTTGCGGCCAGTCAACATTGGGGCCCGCAGAAACACAATTTGAACAAAGTGGTAAAATCATGCGGTGCGTGAGGCTAGAGTTTCAGCCGTCTAACCAGGCCGAAAATATTTTTTTATTACATGGAACGTTTCTGCCCGGGCTGGGTTTATGCCATGTGAGAATTACATTTTAAGACCAGGCTGAAATTTCAGCCCTGTTTGAGTTAGCAAAGGTTGGTAGTCGACCTATTTCTGCTCTACGAACGCTTTAAAATCTTGAAAGACAATAACTTGACCTTTAAGGGACGGTCATTAATGCACATGAAAATGAAAGAAACAAATGCAAAAACTTTGCCAAAGCGAATTTTACTGCCCGGATCGGATTTTTCACGATTAACGATGGCAACAACTGAATAACAGTGAGTCGCAGCCCGGGCTGATAAAACAGCATACTTGAAAGACTGAGTAAATTTAATGCTTCTTAATTAAATTTATCCATATTGAAGTAAGTATATATTAGCAATAAATTTTTCAAAGGGGGGAGCCGCGGCTCCCACAAATCCCTCCTGCCTACGTACCTGCGTTTGAGAGGTTCTTTGTCTTTTTAGGCAGTAGGTTTACCACGTGGTCGAGAAGAAAGTTGTAGCTTTAGCTATATATGACTTATGACAAACTATAAATGTTCTGTTTCTACTGAGTCTTAGTTCATATATAGTCATATGCAGCTATTCTAGAACGTATATATATATATATAACAGCTTTCTTCCGTAAAATAAAAGCTTATTCACGTGTCTTCCAATAAATACTACATAACAGGATGTTCTAACTGGCAAAGTATAGTAAAAATAGTTACAATGTAAGATTCAATCAGTTTTCGCGCCAAAATTGAGCAGCTGGCCGCAGCCATCTTTTTTCCGCATTTTAAATCATGGATCTTCCTCAATCTCAGGCATTTTTAAATCAGTTAAACGAAAAAGAATAAAAATCCATGCTGTTGGTCACCGACCGCCGAGGGACCGATAAAATGTTTTATTTTGTGTGCTATTGCACTCGCACTGGCTTGCCATAGTAATAATATGATTAAAAATTTAACACACATTCATCATCATAAGATACAAAATTTCCATGCTTATACGTAATACTCGCTTGCATCGCTATAAATAGTTTTCAATAATTGCTATATATCTAATCACAATATTGGCCTGTGGATCCCTGTTCTGATTAGCCATTTAATATCAAATATAGAGCTTTTCAAACAATTAGTTCAAACAGACCGGCGCGAATGTGGGCGCTTGTTATGTTGCTAAGAATAGCGTTTGTATATGTGCTTCACTCCTCATAGTTATATCAAACCACATCTTGACTACACGTTCCCCCGGATCGAACCACAACGAAAGAATAATTTATCCCTGCAATAGCTTATACTATAACTTTTAAATCCAAACACCAACATGGCGGTTGGAATGTTATGTGCAAATGCTCTGCAGCTGCCAACAACTGCCAGTTACCGATCGGTACACAGCTAATTACTCCGGTGTCAGCGACGGAGTTGAAAATTCGCCTCGGTTTTGTTTTTTTTTTCGTCGCAAGTCTGAAATGGCGCGAATATTCTAATATTTGAAATGTGTGTGTAACCGTATTTAGCTACGTCCCAGTCTTATCTCCCAAGAGTTGTGGTGTACAGCTTTGGCTAATTTTCCGATGCGCGATTCGATTTCGCTCGCATGATACGGCAATTCCTCCAACAGGAACAAATAAACCGTTCTTTTCATGCTGTTCGATTAAGTTTAGATTGAATTGGGGTAAGAATATATTTAATACATGTAGATTCCGGTCCTATTTTAATAATATCGCTGCTATTTCGCCGTTTAACAAGATGATGTGGTCGTGTATGGGCGCGTTTACACGTTGCGTAGTTTGCACAGGATCGAAGATTTAAAGATAATATCCAGTCGAATCTGAGCATGCACGGAAAAGTCTATTTGCGGGCCCCGCAAACAAACCATTTTACTACATATTACATGAAGTTTTGAGGCTGTGTTGATATATGATCTGTTGCCACCACTTCGCTTGATGAGTGAGAAAACTATTGTCTCGTCTATTGTCGAACCATGGGCCATGGCCGACGAAGGAGAGGAAGATATTTTAGAAAATATCGCAGAAAGTTTGACAGTAAATCTAAATCCGACTGACACGAAATATAAGCGTATGGAATATGATGTTAAACGAGGAAAATCAAGAGTAAACTTGCACGAACTGCCGAACAATTCGTTCCATGGAGTTAAAAAGTGAACTAAATTTTGACACTTAATAGCTCGCTGAGTTTTTAATAAACACGTATTTATCTGGACGGAATACTGCTGGAAAATAGTATGTAATAATAGTATGTTTATACTATTGATAATGCTATATATGCTTCGGCCTTCTTTGACCCCAATTCAATAGTCAATTTAATTAACCTCATGTTTTGCATATTTAGCGACGCGGAAACACAGACAGACAATAGTTCCTTCCTACATGTACCTGAGTCAACATTGCTCCCTGCAGAATCGCTGTCACCGATTGTCCCATATAACTATTAAATTATTTTTACTCTTGTTTACTTATACATAATTATGTGTGCAATGTGTACTTACTATTTTATGCTGTCCAAATTCCAATACCATGCAATATTGATACTGGTAGAAACTGATACTGAGATAGGAATGTACACAGTATATACAAACTATATATGCATGCAAAATGTTTTGTATTTAATTTCAATTATTTATAATCTATAATCTTGCTGGCCTGAAGCCTACATAAACACCATTAGGTGACGGGTAACGATTCCTGATTGCCTTCACACAGCAACTTGGGACAACTCTCCTGTTACCTTGTCCAAGTCTACCATGTTGCCAAAGAACAAATTGCCTGTATGCTGTATGCCGAAAGTTCTCATTATCCTGGGGATGTTCCATTGCCAACATATCCTCCCTGTACCTCATTGCCACATCTAATATGTTCCCATCCAAGACAATTTGGTAGAATAATGGGCTTGTTGTTATACATGGCCGAACACTTTGTGTGCAACATTTGTTTTCAGCTTGTGTTGGCATAGCTACACACAAACCACACTTACACCAATCAGGTGAATTATTGTCATCTTCTGGTGGTCCTGGGTCTTCTGGTGGTCCTGGGTCCTCTGGTGGTCCTTGGTTTACTGGTGCACCTGGGTTTGGTAACTCACCATTTACTAAATCAGCAAACATTGCAGGTTGTCGTCTTAGCAGTTCAACAGCCAAGCGTCTAACTGCTTCCTCATTTAGGCCACTTATGAGTTCCTACAAATATTTGAAGGATAATAATATATTTTTAATTATTTATTAAATAGACACTGCCAGGTACTGTGTCTTTGGTCAAATTGCACACAAGTTACAGTTATCCTGAATAAAGGGCCTCAACTAGTTACAGTCCATTTTAGTTGCTAGATACAGTTTGTGAACATCTCTTTTAGCACATAACTTGCAGCACTATGAGCATGCACTGACAACTGACAAGTACAATCACCAGGTGATTGATAGAGTCAAATATTAATACATTTAAAAGAACAGGCATCCTGGTTGTATTCCTACTGACAAGTACAATCCACTAGTATTAAACAGAGGAACACACTTGAATAGTATGTTTCCAGGTTTATTGCGATGCAGACTTACAATACCTGTATCTGCTCTTCATGCTGAACCTGCCTTTCATCTGAATTTTCTTCAGCCACTAATCTACCACGCCCTCTTCCACCTCTTGTTGACACACGGGCTCTTCTGGGTTGCCTTGCTCGACCTCTAGAAGCTGTTGAACCCCTTGAATGCCCACGACTTGATGGTCTACCTCTTGTACCCCTTTTACGTTTTGGCTCAGGAGGTTGAAACATCTCATCTGATGATTCTTGGTCCTAATACAAAATAGTATATGTTGAACAAATGTTTACAATACATGAGGCAGAAAAAACAGAGGATACAACACAGTATGCATGTAGGCAGCAAATGTAGCATATACTATAATATTACACAGTTAAAATACACATTTTGTCGTCCTGGGACAAATTTTGCATGTGAATCAGTGGGCTGTTATATAACAAATCCATTCATTTTAATATTATATCAGTACTTCGCACAAATTTAACTAAATATAGCATAAAAACCGTAATTGTACTGTACATACCAGAGAATCTTCAGAAGATGAAGAGAAATCCCCATCCAATAGTTGCATTCTGTTCAGGCAGTCTTTGTTCTCTTGCCCATAGCACGCAGAAGAACAGGAATGTCCAGCGTTTTTACACGGACACGCATTACGACCCCTTTCTCGTAAACACATAAACCTGCTGGGTTTACACTTACAAGCCGTTATCTTGTCCGTAAACGGGTTTTCAGATGTTTGGATGAACTCATTGTTATCTCGTTGCTCTAGCGTAAACCACACTTCCATGCATACGACGCGGTATTAAATTTTGAGAGCAACAAAATAATATCGAATACCAGGTGTTTGTCGCCATATTATTTTGAACATATTCACAATGAGACCAACGACTTTGTGTAAATATAAACAGGATGCGTCCCATATTTGCCACTTCAGGTTCTGACACGAAAGTGTCGTTTAATTCATAGTAAGTGTGAAATCATTGGTGAAATCAATTATCGAATTTGCCTATTAAAGCCACCCAGAATAGCCAACTTATTACGCACATTTAACTGTTGTATATTCCCATAAATTCCACTGTATTTTTCCACCAAAGAGTGAAGTCCGCCATGTTGTTATGGAAAAGTCTTATTATGTAGATGCAGAGTACTTCGTGTACGCTGATATATAATGGATGTCAATTGAAAATGTAAACAAAGCTTGCGCATGCTCAGATTCGACTGGATATTATCTTTAATATAACTAAATAACTGCGAATTCCAAAGGCGAATGTATCATGCGGTTTATTTACATTTTTGAACAATTGAACTTCTATACTGCGATGTGTTTCTGAATTTCGCGATCGAACATTTAGGTTTGCAAGGCATCTAACAACCTCGTACCCAGGGTCTTTTACCTACGCTCCTCGGACACGCTGCGGCGAAGACCCTGGTTGCGGCTGGTCACGTGAACCCCTAGAAATTGGCGCAACAGGAGGTCCCGAGGGTGGGTGGTTGAAATACGATATGTTGTAAAACAACTTCCGGTGAAAATTTTGTTTGCGAGGAGCGACACAAGCGACACGAGTGAATTTTTATAAAATAGGAGAGCCATGCGAAAAGATTCGAATTGTATGTTTTTTTTTATTTGTCTGCAGTTTTCTGTTTTGAATAGTTTGTATTCGAACGCTATTTTGAAACCTAAGCAGGTTATTTGTTTGGAAAAGCTGTTCCTTGGCGTGGATATATTGGCAATTCTACCAACCTGTTATGGCAAGTCCTTAATTTACCAGCTTTTGCCTTTGATGCTGTTCGCTAAAAGAGCATTGGAAGAACGTACAAATCAGCAACTTTGTACTGATGAAGTGACCTCTGTGCTGCTTGTGATATCTCCATTGAACGCTTTAATAAACGATCAAGTTCGAAAGTTATGTGCGATAGGACTTAGAGCATCGGCGATAAATATTCAGCCACAACAAAATATTGACGATGAAATCGATTGTGATGTAACTGAACTTGAACAAAAAACGAAGCTGATCAAAGGATATTATAATTTGTTGTTTGCTCATCCTGAAGCGCTAATATCAAGCAAGTTTGGAAAAGAACTAGTGAACAGCGCTATATACCAAAAACATGTTTGCGCTATTGTAATCGATGAAGCCCACTGCATTCTTGAATGGTATTTATTATTGTTTGTCATATATATATTTATATACATTTAAATATTCCTATACGATGTCCTGAATTCAGTTTTTAGGCCATCTTAACTATACTTTATATGGTCTATATTGAAATCTAAATTTATTCTCCCTTAATGGTTGTATCATATAATGTATCACAAACGATCATATTTCGTCATTAAAACTATGTTATGTGAATTTTTTTAGGGGAGATGATTTCAGACAAGATTATGCAAAGCTAAGTGTGTTGTGTGCTGTCTTTCCAAAAGTACCACTTCTGGCTATGACGGCTACAGCAAATAAAAGTGACCGAAGGCAGATTAAGGAATCACTTGGCCTGCATAGTTGTTTTGAATTGATTGCAAACCCCAACAGAAAAAACATCTTCTATGAAAAGACATTCAGATATGGACAAGATATTGATGCATTTGAGCACATTTGCAGACCAATTGCAGTCGATTTGCTACATATGAAAATCGATTTCCCGTTGACTATTAATATATGCCACTTCGATGGTGTGGGTTTGTATACCGACTATTTGAAACCATACTTGGTATAAACCAATATTATCCAGCAGATTCCCTAGCCCTACCAAAAAACAGACTATTTGGACAATTTCATGCTCCACAGACAGCCAAGATGAAACAAGAAATTTTAGAACAATTGAGTCTGCAGTCATCAAAAATAAGGGTAGTTTTAGCTACAGTTGCCTTTGGAATGGGGGTGGACATTCCCTCAATTAGGCAAATTATACATATTGGGCCACCAAGAACCATTAGAGAATATCTCCAAGAAACTGGCAGAGCAGGTCGAGATGGAAAACCTTCAAAAGCCATACTGTATTACAATAACAGAGACATTGCTAAGAACAAACCAGGATTCCAGGATGAAGTACGAATGTATTGCCTCAGCGATGATCAGTGCTTGCGTACTCTACTGCTGCAATTTCTTGACATTAGCCAGCCTGAAGCAGTTTCACCAAAACATTCATACTGCAGTGTTTGCAAAACACAATGCTTATGTATTGAGTGTGGTTTAGCTGTTTAATAAACCTGCTAATACTAGTACAGTATATGTACAAATAAATGTAAATTTTGATGTATATAATAATCATAGTAACCATACAGCCATTTCAATTAAAGTTTCCTGCACCAATCTTTTTAACAAACGTCTCTGAATAATCTTAAATAGTTTAATTGTTATATTATAACTAATAAGGCAGTCCTTAAGTCGAAACACCAGGTTTTTTGTGTATATGGATATACAAAAAACCTGGTGTTTCGACTTAAGGACTTTTTTCTGAAGAGGTAATATGTTAAAGATTTGCACACTAACTCATGTGCTTAAGGCTCTTTTGGTTTGGTTTGGAAAATTCTATGCAGTGGCCAAAAAGTTAATATTTCCATACTATAATATTCTAGTTAATCATTCAGTGCTATAGTCTTATAATTAAATTACTGCTGTTTCAGTTTGTTTGCATAAACAATATTTATAATTCTTCATCATCTGATGTGTCTACTGGTCCGTGCTTTGTAATGTTCCTTTTGTGTTTATTTAGCCAATCATAAAAGGCAGCATTGTCTAATTTTGCTAATGGATCTGAAGATATATCTGAAAAACCATCATGAGAACGATCACCAATATTCTCAAATGGTTTCAATTCTAAGAGATCAGAAAGAATAATCTTTTCATCCTTCTCAGAAGACTTGTGCTTGTGAGATGATGCCTTCTTCTTGATCCCTACAGCATGGTCAAAGTTGCTGATGATTTCAGCAGTGCCCCCAGCAGCTCTACTTAACCGTTCAATTGCCTGGGGTGTTTTATTAGCTCCCATTCCTTTAATACCTTTTTTCAATTCTCGATTGAGGTTTTCTTGAAGAAGATCAATTTCAATATTGTTTGCTGCACCACCCTTCCAGTTAACAGTAGAAGCCCAACGAGTTTGATGAGCCTGTCTCTTTGTCAGAAACACTTCATCCTGCAAGATGCTGATTAGCATCTCAATGGCATAAGTGTTATGACCTGCGTGACTTTTAAAATGTTTCAAAAGCACCTTTCGTAGAGATGCAAGCCAATCACCGTCCCCCAATTTCACTGCTTCTTTAACACATTGAAGGGTAAAAAATAATCTTAAAAGGCATAATGAATATTCCCTTACCCTATCAATGTGGTCCTCATCTTCTGACTCCTCACCCGACTCAGAGTTATTTTGAGCTGGAAACAAGTACTCATCCACAAACTTATCCAGAACATCATCAAAGTACTGTTGTTTTTCCCCATCACCATGCAGTACATCATGTGGTGGAATACCACAGAATACGTGTAGAATTTTTATATAGCATCTTAAAAATAAGCTAAAAAATAAACAATAAAAAATGAGTCATTAATGATTAATCATGAAATAATAGTTTTAGTAGAAAAACTATGTGGAAGAAGAGACCCTAAAAAGAATTTAAGTGTGAGCTTAGTAACTTTTTAGGATCTTGGTAGGGGATGTATTCTAATTTAGAAGATTAGGGAGATATGTTGAGGAAGTATTTTGGAAGTAATAGCTAGATTAAGGAGTAGGGGTTCACCTATGTCCAACAGGTGTTAAAGAATAAAAAGCTTTTGGTTGTTTTGATTTAGGCATTTTTTTAGTAATGATGGGGTGGATGTGGGTTATGCAGTTATTATATACTGGGTGCCATTTTATCATGACACAATTTGTACCTTCAAAAAACTTCTTTTACAGTGCCAATCAGCAACCTTTATTGGATGAATATGATCCAGTCGATCTCGTGCTGTATGACATCCAGCTCTTAAATCTTTTGCACCAGCCAGGCGTACTCTAGTGAGTTGATCACCATAACAGGGTACTCTAACTGTTGCCAAAGGGTCATTAGGGTCAGCCGCAGGATGTACATGTGACAATGGTTGATCTGGTCTAGAAGTAGTTGCAGGCAGGAGTAGGTGTTGTTCATCTTCAGAATGAGACTGACTGCAGTCATTGTATGTGTCACTATCTGGAATGTGTCCAGCTTTAGCAAAAATCTTATGGACCCATGTTTCAAGCTGATCCAGAACATCGACAATCTCGCCATATTTCTTTTCATCCTTTAAAAGAACTGGAAATGGCACAACAATTGATTTAGCTTTCATTTGGTCACCATGCATGGAAGACTGGTCAGTGCTGTTTACCAAATCCTTTATAAAGTCAAATGCAGGGATGTTCTCACACATGATTTTTGCCGCTATCATTTTGTATGCTTGGCGTTGCTTTGCCAGGTCATCATCTCTTAGACCAACCAACTTGGCTATGTCAGTATGAGCTAACGACTGCTGGGGCTCTTCATCTTGCAAATGGCTTGATGATATGCGATCAAAAACTACAGATGTTGCAACAGCATGCACACTTTTGTTTTGATGATCAGATCGCATATCATGGACCTTTTCCTCCCAGTCAATGTTATCAAGTACAAAGGAGAAAGTTTTCCCAGCCTTCACTTCTTCAACCACTTTGTCAAGAAAGTGTGTGCCAATCTCATCTTGAATAGTATATTTCTTTGTCTTTTCGAGGCATATACCATACTTATTAAACCTTTCATATACCTTAAAAAATATTGTAGGTATTGTATCATTTCATGTTTATAACTAATCAAAAAATTTTATTTAACAGGCAACAATGCTCAAACAGACTTCTGTTTGACCTTTAACATCTGCAATCTGCACTGGAGAACTTCCTGTACAAAGTCTAATGCGTGCCGCAGAGAATGCAGAGAAGATAAAAGCCTTTGATATTGAAAAGCATCAGGCACATGTTAACCTATCTCATATTTTGCCTATTGCTGAATATATATAAAAAAACGTAATCGATAAAAGGCATAATCGTCTTACTGGCGATTGCAAGGAATTGGGAATCAAAGTTAATTTGCACTTATCATAATTGGAACGAGTTCAAAAAAAAAGACAAAAACTTTGTAACAGTGGGATCGGCGGATGGGGATGACACATCAAGCTTATTTAATGAGAAATCTCAAACAGCTGAATAAACATTTGCAGTCCATAGAGTTATATGACTTATAACTGAAACTAGGCTATTGTTTATTGTTTATCCTCCCTTGGCCTGTAGATACTTTTTTACACCGAATCAACCGGCAGTCTTGAGAAGTTGAAAAAAAACCTCTTATACTCAATACCCACAATTAAAGGAAAAGAACAAATAATATCACAGTGCATGTTTACCTCGGTATTCGCACCACTATCCGCCAGAATTACACTGTTAATACGCTGGAAATAACTCAACTCGTGGCATCTTTTGAACATAATCACCCCGTATATCAATGTCATTGGAACAATCCGCGTTTCCGAAATATTGAGTTCCAACATTTCTGCTAAAATTCTGTAAGTCGCAGGGCATATCGTGCGCAACTCCGTCTATCTGATTTGCTCTGGTGAAAAGGTGCTCAATCCCTCAAATGACGGCTGCGAAGCTTTGAATTCGTCTCTCTTCTAGCTACTTCACGCAATTCATCATTAATCCTTTTTAGTATTTCATCGAATGACGCGTCCTAGCAAAATGTAACAATTTTGCATAATGTTAAGGACTGAAATTTATTATTTAGTACTACCCGTTTAATTTTGTTTTTACCTGGTAAGGGCCTTTGCTTGAATTCAATTGCAGTTATCAAGACAGCTGCGGCGAGAGCCCACACTTCCATCTGCTTCACTGGTTCTCGAACTCTTAATGCTGCTCATGGCTACAGATGGCGATGATTCGTTGATGCATCTCTTTTTCGATGTCAAAGAACTTTGGGTTTCAGTCACTATTCTCCTAAACTTGGCAAAATTGTCAAGCCTTCTCTCGCAAGGCCGACATAAAAGTTTAGGAAGCCCGTCCTCATTCGCAAGAGTTCCACCATTTACAAATTCTGCGACACAAAGAAGGCTTTTATTTCGCACTAGAAATAAATTTTTGCAGTGCTTCTTATCGAAAACGCCAGCACAAAGGCGACACTTGCACTCCGACAACAAGTCAGATTTCGGATAAAGTTTCTTTGGAGTTTCCTTTCGCTGTGCCATAGCTTGGGAGCAACCGATACTGAAGTTTTTTTAAGTCTGTATTCGATTATAACTATGCGCTCCGAATTCAAGGTGCAAAACATACCTCCAACGACGCACATTAAAGCAAAGAGGTGTGAAAAGTTTTTGTGCGGTGACATATTTCATATAAAATAAAAGCAAAACCGACAAGGCCAACAAAGTGCCGAGATTTTTTCGTTTCACACCTGATGATCAATCTCCTGGCTTTTTAACAATTCCCTCTACCACTCCTCCCTAAGAGGCAAAGAGGCGCCAATTCGAATTACCCCCAATTTCTAGGGGTTCACGTGACCAGCCGCAACCAGGGTCTTCGCCGCAGCGTGTCCGAGGAGCGTAGGTAAAAGACCCTGGGTACGAGGTTGGGCATCTAAATGCGAATATGTATGCGAAACAATACGCGAACTGTATTGTTTATGTTCAGAAGCTCTATATTAAAGACTGGCACGTGCGCCGGAGTTAACGCCAGAACGACGTCTTGTTCAATAAACGTTGTCCTTCTCAAGCCCAAACTCTCAAGCTCTAACCGTATGTGCGAGATATTATGCATGCATTGCCCCTATTTACTGTATTGAACTATATTTACTATATTTACTGTAAGAAAGTTGTCTTGTTAGTTGTTATATATACCCATGCAGGACGCCGGAACAGAAGATATCTGCACAAAAGAGTGAAAAGACTCAATTGACTGGCTGATTTTCGATCTCTCGATTTTCCGGACTTGAATAGAACAAATAGGGTTACAACCTTTCGCGTTCAGAGCTAAAGGTTTTTTTAAAGAACACACTGTCTAGTTAGCACTCTAATTCATTCAATTCAGTGGCCTGATTTTAAAGCTGGAATATTTTTTTAACTCGGAGTTATAAATTTGTCAAAGTGTAAACTATATAGGCAAGATATCATAAGTTTTCAATATGATTGACTATTTGACAAATATATTTTGCTGTGTGTCTTGTAGAATACACAGTTTGCAATATTTCGTAATATTAGTTGGCGGCACGATGACGCGTATATAGCGGCCATGTTGAATGACCCTGTATATTATACACTTAATGTATGCTCCCAAGGGGAATAGTGAGTTTTATTTTCCGAAGAGTCTGAATGTTTCCCGAGAAGAAGTCGAGGAAAACATTGAGACTCGAGGGAAACCATTTCCCGAGGTAGTATACATTAAGTGTTTTGTTATATAGGAACAAAATATACATGTTACATAACAATTTCATTTAAAAAAACCCACTTTACTTTGTTATAACAAGAAGCGGGCAACAATTTTTCACTTGTTTCCCTGGCAGAAAATATTGCATTCACTTAAAGTCATGTGACTACGAATGAACCAATCACATTTAAACTGACACAGCACCTATATAACAAAATATAGTTATTTACCGGTATAAAGCCCAGGATTTGTGAAACTGTCCCTTGATATAAGTAAAATTTAGAACTGATAGGGCTACTCATTGTATATAAGTTGAATAAGGTGATGTTCCCTTAGTAAAACTAGATCATTTTACGAGGAGACTCCATTGCCATTGGATCTCTCGGGGAACAGATTCGAAGAAGGGAGCTGTAACTGCGGCTATCAAAAGAATGACTGATAGAACACTAGATTAACCAAACATAATAAAATGAGTATTAAGTTCTGTATATTAACAGACTCGTATATTATAGTTCACGCAACCTAGCTTGGAAGTACATATTTAATGCATAAGATGTAGCTATATAGCTAGGTTCAGCCATTCACAAGATGTATGAGAGTATCTTTAAACTTATCGGCTTATCCACCATTTAAGCTAAACGCCTTTTGAACAACCGTGGTCTGCATATATGCACTTAAATAAAATAAACAAGATAGAATAGTCCGGCTCTTCTGGAAGTAAATGAAACAAGCAGGCCTATATATATGCAATTAGTAGACAAATTGTACCTGTACTTTTTGGTCTGTTTTTAATTTCGCGTTCTTTAAAAGCAAACAAAGCTTATATATATATAAATACATAAGGATTACGAAAATGAATTTCGAAATTTCGCATCTAAATTTAAACTTTGAACCACCCTTGTGTAGTTGTGTTTGCCTTAGAAACGTATCGAAACCTCACGTTTTTACGGAATTTAAAATAATGAGATCTTAGAACTTATTAGTATACCTCAAGCGTTTCTGCGTAATTGCAGTTAACGCTTTAAATAGACGTTAATGACATCAAACCGCCAGCTAATAGTTTCGTTTCAGATTAATAATATACGCGATGTTTGTCTTCCTACTAAAACCCAGCCGGAAATTGCGCCCTGTAATGAAAGTACACGTTCAAAACTGCATAGCAAGTTCAGCTGCTGAAACACATGAATAAATGATCGTGTACCGCTATTTACTCAATTCATATCTTATCAATTTCTGGTGGATTTTGGTGGTTTTGTTTCGGTTCGTGGCAAGCCGGTAAGTCATACAAGAGCGATAAAGTATATGAAGGGATTTAGCTGTATTAAATTGTAAAAGGATCAATTTCGTTTCGTTGACATAGAAAGGTAGTTTGTTTGCTAAGTTATAAATCCAGCTTGGTATATGATATTTTTGGTTTGTAAATTGTACGCCTACGGTCTTGTGATATAGTGCACATGCAATCAATTCTATGGGGAAACCTAGAATATAGAGATCGACAAGCTGAAGAATTGAACTACATACAGTAAGTTCAGTAAAGATTCATATGAGACGGAGATATTGAAACAAACGTAATAATCGACTATAGGCATATTACAACAGGTCGACAAACCGAATTGGTCCTTGATGTAACTTTCATGGATGACTTGCAAAATATCAGTCGCTTAAAACGCGCTTCGACGTCTTAACCAGGTGTCACAATCGACAAGTGAGCTGGGTGAAATGTTGAGTCATATATGTTTGGGAGAACACCGAAATAATTAGCCGTTTTGAGCCAATTAGAGACATTTTAACTCTGTGATCCTGTATATATTTGGCATTTCTTTTAGAGCAATCCGTTGGACTGATTTAAAACAACAAGGGCTGAAAAGTGAAGAAGATTGCAGCGCCTGGTAGAGCCATACACTCCAGGATTTGTCAGTTTTGAACAGGTTTATATAATTGTGCGTGGATGATTTGAGATTATTTACCAATATACTCTACAGATAATGCTGAACAATAGTATCAGTATCACCATGTATCCTGTGTTGACCCTTAATAGCTATGCCAATTCCACAACAACAACCGGCGACGACAACCGCGTTATACAGTCTATGATTCCGGTTTTCGTGTTGATCGCAGTGCTGGCGTTATTCGGGAACTTACTCGTCGTATTTCTGTTTATACAAAACAGCGGATGGCTGAAAAAGGCGCATAGTAATCTAATTCTTGCGCTGGCGATTACAGATATCCTGACGGCGATTTGTGTGCTGTGCGTGCCTTTATTCATTCACGAAAACGACGTTTACACTGTTCCCAAGAACGGCTTGCTGAGAGAGCTTTATTGTCGTATTGTATGGTCCCACTATTTAGTATTTTCGCTTGGCGTAACCTCGGTTTACCTGTGTCTATCCCTAGCCATTGAACGTTGGCTTGCCATCAGAAGACCTCACTTTTACACGCAGCATTTACAATCAAAACGCGTAATTGGCCTTTTGGTCGTAATCCCATGGCTAGCCGGCTTCGCGTTCGAGAGTTCTGCAATAATACGGACGACAGGCGTGATTCTACGGGACGGCACGACCAGCTGCGAATGGAATCCGGACACGTCCGAATGGGGAATTCGCGTCGCAATCGCCGTGATCTCGTTTAGCGGCATGATTTTGATACCCGGAGTATTTGTGGTTTTGGCCTACATACACATCTTGCTCAAAGTCAAGGTGACTTATAAACAGGACACCGTAAGGCATCGAGGCAAATGGAGGCGCGCTGATAGCTTAGATTTCAAGAGGGTGACCCTCATGGCAGGGTTGGCATCGATTGTTTTGTTGATTTGCTGGCTACCAGGTCAATTTTACTTCATGTTATCCCAGATGGGGTACGTCAAGGTTCATGTGACGGCCCACCGCTGGTTAAATGTCCTGGCTCTATCAAGCTCGGCTTGGAATCCTATAATATACTCGTTCTCGAACTCACAGTACCGAAAAGGATTTAAAAAAGAGCTGTCGAGATTTCTGTGCCTGTGTAAGTTGTGGAGAAAAGGCTCTTATAGCGTTAGACAGCACTCTGGGAATGCTGCCGTTGCTAAGTCTGGAAAGGAATTAGGCCACTCGCCTGGACTTGTAGGCACTTCGGTCTGAAGGCACAATTTACAGGGTACTTGAAATGAATATTTATTTTACTAATCTTTCTAGAGTGCTTTAAGATCTGAGCATATATATATATATATATATATATATATATATATATATATATATATATATATATATATATATATATATATAAAAGAAATAAACTTATGACAGGTAGACTTACACCATGCTGTCTTATCAACGACTTTATTTAACAATTATTCGCCGAAGGCGTGGTAAATATCGCGTAATAATCCGAGGTCAGAATGACCAGAGGCCAGAATTTTCAATAATCACCGTGAAATTGGGCCTGTTATCCAATTTGCGTGACTACCTACATGGGCTTAGAAATATGTTAAAGATTAGGTCGGGGGGCGCCGATCACGAGGTGCCACCATCGTTGACGTCGAGCATGAAATTCGATTAAATTTGGAAATGGTTCGTTCTGAAATTGAATCACCTGAGGATTTGCCATCAAACTCAGAGTAGCGATGCCAAAGCTCTACCATCTTGCAGTATTCAGCACTTATTTCATACGAAGAATTGGAATATCTGTATATATATATATATATATATATATATATATATTATAATATATATATTATATATATATTTTATATATATATATATATATATATATATATATATATATATATATATATATATAAGTTAATCACAAAAACATAACGTTTCGACTTTATTATCTTTCTCAAGTGAACTAAATATTACAGGCTTCTCCTTTATATACCTACCTAGATTAAAATTAGCATACATAGTTATCCATTTCAATATTCAACCCAGAGGGGTACATTGTCTTAAGTCTGTCGATCCAATACTTTTCCCTAATTGTAGGTTCTGCTGGATTAGTTTTATCAATAATAACTATCTCACAATCATTAACTAAACCATTGTGCTCTTTTGTTAGAAAATGTGAATGAAAAAAACGCTTGTGTGTGGTCCCGATTGCAAATCGCTTTCTTTTGACATGCTTTATAATTATTCCATCTCAAACGAAATTTATCCGCTGTCTGACCAACATATTGTTTACTAAATACTTTACATGTAAGGAGATAAATCACACACTTAGAGTCACAGTTAAAGTGATGGTTCACTACATATTGTTTACCATTAGCTGTGCATCTAAAAGTGTCGGTCTCCTTTATGTTATAACATGTCAAGCATCTAGGTTTCTTACATTTCTTACATCCTTTTTCTCTTATTAATGGTGGTACTTTCGCTTTAACCAAATAGCTTCTTAAATTCCGACCAGTTCTAAATGCCGCAAACCACGAAGGTTTACAACCAAATTAATAATTTTTCGGAAGAGATTGTGAAGTCTTTGACCAATGAAAGCAATGATATGTTTAACCGGCTTCACGAGCAGAGAAACATCTCTGAGAATGAACTTAAGTATTTTTCGTACAATTTTAAGAACTCGTGTACGGTAGGTAGATAGTATTTGCTACCTAAGATTCATAAAAGGTTACTTTATGTGCCAGGACGTCCTGTCATATCGAATTGTGGGACTCCTACAGAAAAGGCTTCTGAGTTTTTAGACCACCATCTCAAGCCTATTATGAGAGCTGGGAAGTCTTACATTCGAGATACAGGGCATTTTCTGGATAAATTGAAAGAAATAGGTAAACTTCAGGAAAATGCATTGCTCGTTACGGCCGATGTTACGAGTCTCTATCCTAGTATCCCACACGATGATGGTCTGCGAGCACTCTATAACAAGCTAGAAGCACGTGAAGATAAAAAAGTGTCATCAGAAAATCTTATTAATTTGGCGGAATTTGTCCTTAAAAATAATATTTTTGAGTTTAATTCGCATATTCGCATATCTATCGTCAAACTTCCGGGACGGCTATGGGCACTAAATTTGCCCCGCCATATGCATGTATCTTTATGGATATGATAGAGACGGAATTTTTGGAACAACAAGAGATAAAACCATGGGTGTGGCTACGGTATATTATGATATCTTTTTTATTTGGTTAGAAGGTGAGGAAAAACTATTAAAGTTTATGAACAGTTTTAATGAATTCCATCCCAGCTTGAAATTTACTTATGAGTACTCGCAGACCAAGGTAAATTTTCTTGATGTAACGGTGGAAATTGATGATGGTCAGTTCAGAACAAGCCTTTTCTGTAAGCCAACTGACTGCCATCAATATCTACACTATGAGTCATCGCACCCTGCACACGTCAAAAGATCTATAGTATATAGTCAGGGCTTGCGACTTAAGAGAATTTGCTCACGTAAGGAAGATTTTGAGAAACATCTCGAGGAGCTATGTAGTTGGTTTAAAAACAGATCATATCCTACATGGCTTATTGAGAAGGAAACTAAGCGAATTAAGGAGTATAATATAGAACAAAGCAAGGTAGTTAAGGAACAAAGATGTAAGACTGGAGTGCCTTTAACAATAACTTTTCATCCTTTGCTAAAGCACTTCGGTCTGGTGATTAAGAAAAATCTGCACATATTGTATCTAGACGCAGAAGCTCGTAAAGTATTCACCCCAGAACCTTTTGCGGCATTTAGAACTGGTCGGAATTTAAGAAGCTATTTGGTTAAAGCGAAAGTACCACCATTAATAAGGGAAAAGGGATGTAAGAAATGTAAGAAACCTAGATGCTTGACATGTTATAACATAAAGGAGACCGACACTTTTAGATGCACAGCTAATGGTAAACAATATGTAGTGAACCATCACTTTAACTGGACTCTAAGTGTGTGATTTATCTCCTTACATGTAAAGTATGTAGTAAACAATATGTTGGTCAGACAACGGATAAATTTCGTTTGAGATGGAATAATTATAAAGCATGTCAAAAGAAAGCGATTTGCAATCGGGACCATACACAAGCGTTTTTTCATTCACATTTTCTAACAAAAGAGCACAATGGTTTAGTTAATGATTGTGAGATAGTTATTATTGATAAAACTAATCCGGCAGAACCTACAATTAGGGAAAAGTATTGGATCGACAGACTTAAGACAATGTACCCCTCTGGGTTGAATATTGAAATGGATAACTATGTATGCTAATTTTATTCTAGGTAGGTATATAAAAGAAGAAGCCTGTAATATTTAGTTCACTTGAGAAAGATAATAAAGTCGAAACGTTATGTTTTTGTGATTAACTTATAAATGGCTTTTTGCCAGGTGATTGCCCTATATATATATATTTATATATATATATATATATATATATATATATATATATATATATATATATATATATATATATATATGAATTTATTAATTTCATCAAAATTTTGCGAAATGACTGTTGTGCATTGACGTTTGAACATATACAAATTTTTGTCTCGACCAATCAAGAGTTTAGTAGTTCACAAAGGCGAATGCGCACAACGTAGGAGACCGTCTATGACGTGAGGCCCATTGCATAAGGGCGAATGACTTCGCATTGCACATCATGGGTGTAAATATCCGCTTCGCGCCGCCTCGGGATGACTTTTAAGATCACATTTTGTGTCAGGGACACTTTTTTCGTTATCCCTAACCCTTTTCCTTTTTGTTTCCCGATTCCCCATTTTTGGTTTCAAAGACAACCTATACTGAGTACCATTTTCACAATTTTTCGTGTGTTGTCTTTTATTGTTAAAAACATGATCTAATCTATTGTTCAATAAAGTCAATAAATCTAGTCTAATCTATTGTTCAACAAAACGCCTTGATATAAATTCTTTAACTATATTAATAACAAAACACGTATACGTCTCATGCGTTCTAAGGGTCTTAAAATGTACACTCAATCAATTTGTTCCAAACTTTGAATGCATATTACAGTTGCGAAGCGTTCTATAACGCCACATTCTCCTCTGGCCCTGCCTTTTCAATAATCGTTTCCAAATCTTTTACGTTACGCGGGTCCAACAACTTGTAAATCTCCATAGCCATTTTGGCGTACTTCACGGCTTCTTGGCTATCAATTTCCCCGTCGCTATAAGTTATCGCCAACTGATAATACACCAATGCTCGACATCGGGTGTTCTTTTCAGCGAGTTTGTCGGCAATGTCGCGCGCTTCTTCTAACCTTTTCACTGATTCATCAAAACGACAGAGATAAGCAAGGCACACGCCACAATTCTTCAGCAAGAACACAAACGCCTCGTTAGAATCAAGTTTCATTGTCTTGCGCAGATTTACGGCATCAGTGTAGTACCCGAGTGCTTCTTCGTTCTTATGCAGGTTAAGAAATAAGTCTCCTAACAGTTTATTGAGTATGCAAGTTAATTCGTGGTCGCCCAACACATCTTTGGATAACGACAAAGCTTCATCGTAAAATAATTTGGCAGAATTCATGTATTCATCGTACCTTTCTTTGTCTTTGCGGAAAACATTTGCACGTTTCTTCTTTAAATTTCCTCGTTCCATTAGAATATGTGCCTCAGCAACTTTATCTTTAGTACTTGCTTCCTTGTCATCAAGTAACGGCGGTACATCATCTTCCTGGGGATTAGTAGTTGTTGCACTTGTTTCTTTGTCTAGATCGTAACGCGCGAAAGAATGATAAGAAAACATGAATAAGGCCCGATCCTCTCTCATTACAGCCTCATTTTTGTAAAATGCTGCCTTAATGTCCTCCATTCTTTCAAAGTATTCCTGAGATTTCCATGCTGATTTACGACCTTCTTGATCAGCTACCAGACATTTGAAAAGGATCTCAATACATGGTCGACTTTCGGCTAGTTTCATACAAGATTCAAAGAAACTCCTCAAAACCGTTACAGGAAGAAGATCCCAGCTGAAGTTGTAAAAGAATCTCGCCGAAGCAATGTAAATATCACTTCCTCTCAACAGCTGGGGAATGTTTGGATTGGTTTCTCTATCTTGGCTGCAGATTTTCAACGTTTTCTCGACATTGTGGATATCCTTTTTAAGTGACTCCCTGGCGCCAGTAAACCCGTTGGGCGAATAACAATCCCATGTCCATGAATGGCACATGTGTAGAAAATGACTCACCATAAATTCTTGAGCCGCTGCTTTTTCATGTTGAAAGCTGTCATTATCAGCCAAGAAGCGTCGGATGAGCGAATGAATCACGAAGCGCTTATCGCTACTGCTTTCTATTAAACTTCGAGCAACGAGATTTTCTAAAAAATCTTGGGTTTCCAAACTATTTTTCTCAATAACCTTTTTCGCGGATTTACTTCGGAAATTCCCATCAAACACAGAAAGACGAACCAAAGCTTTTTGTTCCTCATCCTTCAACATCTGAAAAGAAAATTCGAAGGCTTGTTGAACAGGCTTCAATGTTTCCATAGGCTTCTTTCTTAACCATTTTGTTAACTTCGAAGGATCATCAAGATCTTGAATTCGTTTTCCTGCGAGACACAAAGCGAGAGGAAGGAAGCCACACAGTTCAGCCACGTCAGAGAGGTATTTATCCTCCACCATCTCATCACTAGGACAACACTTTCGCAAAAGTTCGACACTAACTTGTTCATCAAACACTTTTATTCGTTTGTTTATAGCGATGGTTTGTTGATTCGGAATTGTGAATTCAGTTCTTGTCGTTGCTAGGAACTGCAAATATTGCTGTGAATTTTTGCGGAGCGTAAACAATAATTCATCAAAGTGATGTTTCTCGTTGCTTTCAAGCAGCTGCTCAATGTTGTCCATTACAAGGACAACTCTCTTCTCATTAATACTTCTCAACCATAACATCAACGACGATTCAGGATTTTCTCCAGAATTGATGCCAATGTCTCGACAGAGATGTAAAATCACGTCTGAAAGAGTTGAAACATTTCGCAGGTATGAGAAAATGACGACAAAGTCATGGGTATTTCTTAAATGATGGAAAACTTCAACTGCAACAGTGCTTTTACCAAAACCTGGTCCACCAACAATACAGACAATTCCACAGTCATTCTTAACCAAGGAAGATATTATTTCATTCACTTCAATGTCCCGGCCAATAAATATTTGTGGTTTGTCAAGAATAGAACTTTTCAGTTGGAACTGCCCACCCGTGACTTGAACGTTGACGATATCTTGTAATGACTTGATAGTAGTTTGTAATGACTTATATTTAATCTTCAAATTCTCCAACTCTTCTTCCTGACTTTCAATAACCTGCCTGTCAGAAGTTTGATCATCTTTCAAACGCTTTAATTCTTCCTTCATTTGGCTGACTTCTCCACCTAACTCAAAGCTCAATAATTCAAGATTTTTTAACTTGGTTTCTTTAACGTTGGTTATTCCATTAGTTTTAAGATCTATGATAAGCCTCGTGCACTCTTTAACTTCTTTACGGTTAAAAACTTTGTGAAGATCGGTTAAAAACTTCTTGGCAATATCAAAAGCATTGATACGGTTATGATCTGGCAATTCGTGACGAGGCGCATGAGCCCAAGAGTGCCTAACGTTGGAACGAAGCTGAATAACGAGGTTACGATCTACACGTCTGTCTGGGGCAAAGACCGCATCTTTCATCCATTCGAGGACGTTCAGAAGAGACGATAAATCAGTGGATTCGGCGTCTTTAACGGTTCTTTTGTTGTCTCCAAGAGCAGACATAAAGAACTTGGCAACCTCCCAAGAATCATTCAGCCACTTTGATGTGTCGCAGTTTCCGCGCCATTTGATCTGTCGTTTGTCTTTATTTCGATGGGACTTGGCAAGCTCATCGTACCAAGTCTTGCAGGAGTGGCAAAGATCGCGAGGATCCTTTTTTGTCAGGCAAACAGCAGGATTTGTACATTGCGGCAGCGAAAGACAAGGAAGCTTGGCATACCATTCTTCAATGATCTTAGTGGTGTACAAAGCAACAGGTTTGGTAATGAATCTGATTATTTCTCCAATGGTTAACCAGTTGTTGTGATCCTTGGACGAACACATTTATGGTGAAATGAATGGCCAAATTCTTAAAAAAATACATTGGGGTGACACATGTAAGAAAACCAATAAACCAAGTACATGTACATACTGTATCTATAAGCAACGAGTTACAGAAGTAACAACATCATGTTTCTAATAATTAACATGGAAGTAAGTATTTTTACTCCTTTAGACATGTACTGTAGCTAGTATTATAATTAATGTCATGATATGTATTCCCTGGAAACTCGGATAAAGTCCTCATTCTATTTCTTGTTCATGCAACTGCCCTTAAAATTTTAGTAAAAAATTGCAATTGTGTGGTAAGCATTTCAAAATGAAAATCAGCCAAACTTCTATCTAATAACTTCATTAACAATATGGTAATTTATATTAATACTTCTATGGTATTTATATTAATATTTCTTATTTCTTTATTATGTACCACTCTACAGTAACTTTTTATACTACATCTGGGTATTTACCAATCACAATTTAGCAGCACAGTCCTTACGCAAACAACATGTTTGAATGGTTCTCTCAACAAAATGGTATTCTAACTATTCTTCACATACTTTAGGAGCTACAGCACATATATTCTTCATAACCTAGAATTTATTAGGGTTCACCCTATTAGTGTTAAGAACAGTGTTAATGACAGTGTTCATGGTAGCATGTTACGTCTTGAACCATATTCAAGACATATACATGCATTGCCTCTAAAAAGTCAAAATGGTAATTGATTGATCATCCTTCTATATAATGCTGTTGTTGTTTTCTTGTAAGATGGATTGGTAGAAGCTGTCTGAGGATGCAGAGGTAATATATAATAAACCAGAGAGGTGCTGAAATCACCTAACGCTCGCCTGCACTGTTTGTCTAGAATAACGCTAAACTCTGTATGAAAGGTATCTGTATGAAGCACAAATTACCGATCTTTTTATTACAAATTACAAGGCTAAAATCCGCGTTGGAAGGTAATATTAAGCACAAACTTCAGATATTAGTCGTGACCTCATAATTACTGGCCAAAACTGGCCTCGGAATGACATTAGTTTTATTTGTGACCAACATTTCTTCCGTTTCTCGCAATCCGCGCACGTGATATCAACAGGTAAGTTAACGGACCAGGCAAAAGTACCTGCTTTACTGCTATTTGCAATCAAACGCGCCGCGCGCCGAATTTTTATCGTTGTTTACTCGCAGTTAACGTGACGTTTACCCATACTCAACGTTACGTTCATCCCTACTCAACGTTACGTTCACCTATTGCCAACGTTATGCGTGTTTCGTGAATAAATACTACAGCAGACGAACATTTTACAGTATACGAAGTGTTGTTCTTCCTCGAACCACAGGATACGTCATTGTCTGCTGACTTTTGTCTTGAGTATTAAATATTGGAAGACGTTTGATTTTTGTTCACGGTGGTAATGTGCTAAACTGATTTACCGCGATCAACTTCGACTGTGAAATAATTTTTGTCGTCCCTTGAATTCTTTCCTTGAAATGATGCAAATTAAAAATAAATAGAGCAACGATTTTATATAGTTTACTTTAGCGGTGACGTGCGTGTTCCTCGCGCATGTCTTTTAAAAAACAACCGAGAGGCGTGGCAAATGCATTTTGCTTTCATGCCTCTGCGTTCATACGTTTCTTTATCAAAATGGTGAACTACCAATTTAAAATTGAGTACAGTCCGGGAAAGTTTGTTATTTGTTTTCGTAATATCGATACAAGCTCGTACACATTTTATAATCTCGTTGATGACATCAAGAAACGCTGTCCTGGGTTTGCACATCTCACACCACAAACGATCCGTATTAGATTCCTTGACGACGACGGCGACTATATTAACCTGACAGAAGACGATCCTCAAAACGTAGATGAAATGTTGCAACAGGCTAAATTTGTTGAGGAAAGGAACGTAAGAAAAATCCAGCTTCGTGTATCTGAGCTGGATTCACCTTGCCCAGTTGTAAACCGATCCCCAGCGGACAAGAAACGCAAAATAGACACTGAACAGGGGAAAGGTGCCGTTGCGTTAAAGCCTCGTTCCTTAAATTTCACGTCCAAAACATCGCAATCCGATACAAGAAAAAGTAACGCGTGTACTAGTGACGACAATTCGCCGTTGAGCGCCCTTGAGACATACGTGTATAATGCACAAAAGAAAGTTGATGTTGAAAAATCCAAGTTGGAACAAATGCAACTTGAAAGACACGAGACTCTACAAAGACTTGAAGCTGCAAAGGTTGCTGCTGGCGATGCTGATGCGAAGACTTGCGGCAACTGCCATCTTCGTTTAGGACATTCACAAAAAAAGTGTACGTTAGAAAAATGTACAGACGTATTCTGTTGCGGCCAGGAGAAGCGTCATCCAGGGCAATTCAACAAACGCCGTCTTGATCAGGAGATTTCGAGGCAGGAAAAAGTTGTTTTGGAGGCCGAGGAAGAACTTAAAAGGCGAACGTCATCGGTCCAGATCGTGCAAAAATCTAAAACAAAACAAATTGAAAATAACCTCATTGATAACCACAAAGCTGATTATACTAACGAGCGGGGAAACCTTGACTGGAACTTAATTCGAAAACATACATTACTTATTGAAAACTATTGCAAAAAGCACATGAATGGCAAAATACCTGGAAAGCAATCTTTGTCGAACATTTTGAGGAAAGCCACCCAAGATTATAAGGAAAGCAATTACGGCAAAGCATTTGGGCGCTCCAAAAAGCGTAAAGGAAATCCAGCCAAAAAAACGTTAGAAGAACATGGCATTGATTTTCCTGGTGCGCCTCAAATATCATCAGATTCAGAGGATGAAGATTATTACGATCGCTTACCAGAGGTTGTAAGTAAGCAATCAACAGACTTGACGTCAAGAGCCATGCCACGAAATGTCGAGGAAGAAGAGAGTCAGTTGGAATTAGCCTTACAGGCTAGCTTGCAAACAAAGAATTATGTTGTCGATGCAGATAGTTATCCTCAACGTAGCGCCATAAATCCAGCTGCAATGCCAATGGCAATGCCGATGTTCTCGTATGATTATCCTAGACCTAACTATAACAACTGCTATTCTGCATCCTTAGTGCCACCTTACTATAACTATAACTATAGTCAACATGGACAGTCTGGTGTTTATCAATTTAATGCCGGCGCAAGCACTATCACTAGTTCACAAGCCATATCAGTAAATGACGCTGATGAGATTGATACAGCTATAACATCCGTTTCAAATGATGCCAGCCCTGTATTTGAGGATACCACTACTACGGAAGCCGAATCTGTAGCAATGGCTTTACTGAATCTCAACAGAAAGGAATAAAAAATCTATCCAGCATGTATATGTAAGTTTTATAAACATGCAGCTTGTATTGTTTCAAATTGTAACAATTGAACTGAACCGAAACTGTTATTTTTCAATTGTAACCTTTTATTGTTCAATTGTAACAATTGAACTGAACTGAGAATTTTACTGTTCTATTGTAACCTTACCTTGGCTTGTTTTAGGCTCAGCCTAGTTTGTTTTGTTTTCATAGCTCTAACAGACACTTGTTAGACGTCCTACTTGCCATTTCACGTCATGGGACGTAAACAATACAGAGGCGGGCGAGTCCCAATTGACAGTCACCTCGAAAGCATAAATTAATTAAGGCAGATTTGCAATAATATTAGGCTGAATTTTTCGTTTGATTTTTTTTCAATGTGACTGATCAAGGGAATCCTCTCCGTCTTTAGTTTTCGAAGGAATATTAAATGAACACATTAGTTTTTCATATTTATTTAACTGATAACAATGTCAATTGTTGTAACATGCATTATTAGCCCTTATGAGGTTTTTTACATTACTTATTACTTATAACTTACAAAGGCATGTATGGCCGGTTTGCCGAGTACTCTTGTCCCAAAAATTGGCGGTTGCCATTGTCATTGCTTGTCGAATTTTCGGGAAATATTATGTAAGCCAATGGTCCCCAAATTTTGTGACTAAGTGTTTGAGGTGCTCTCCAATGCCCGTTCTTTATATATATTGCTAAAATTTTCACATGAATATTGCATCGGTGGTTTGGACTTTCCCACGCAAGTATTAAGAACGCGTAGTTGGAAAACAACGACAACGTCGATTATATATATTCGTATTTCGAGTTTATATTAATGTATGTTTTCGTTTACAAACAATCATAGGAGAGAGAATATATGTCTAAAACAAACGTTTATTGTATAACGTTTGCTTCTATCTCTGGGCTCTTATACAAATAAATAATCAGTGTTTTTGTAGAACCCATGCATATCATTTGAACTTATGAAGTTAATTGCTTCATATATTGCCAACTTGATGTCATAGTGGACTACAGGAAGAAGGTCAAAATTCAAGGCATTTTTAACTTTCGAGAAAGCATGTTCCACAGGATTAAGATCAGGCGAATATATCGGTGTGTAGAGTAATTCTATACCCATTTCATGAAAAATGTCCTCCAAGATTTCCCCACCTTCATAATGATGACAACTCAAATTATCCATGATCACCGTGTCGCCACACTCAAGCAACGGTTGTTGTGTTGTCGGCGATGTATACTGACAAACCTCGTCAAAGAAATTTAAGAATTCAACAGTATTTGTGGGTCCATCTAATATGTTAAAATAAGCCACTCCATCGTACAACGACGTTAACGCATTCAATGTGTAATTCGGACTAGGGCACTTACGAGTTATTTCCACACAACGTTCCCCAACAGGGGCATGTCCGTAAAGCCTAGTTCCTACTTCAGGAATACGAACACCTGCTTCGTCGAAAAACTTAAGGGTATATGGGTTTTTGCTGCTTACATAATTCATAAATAATTGTGTGTAAAGCATGTTTTCGGGTGTAAACCTTTCTTTGGCTAAATGGGTTATCTTTTTCCTTGAATATTGTTTACCCGATGGCATCTTGTTTTTTATAGCCCGACTGATTGTGCTCAGTGAAATGTCTTCCTGCAGATCCATAGCTTCTAACTCCTCACAAATTTCAAGTAGAGTGACTGATCCTCTTCGAATTTTTAAAGCTTCGATCATTTCTAGATCTTCATTTGTTAACTTTTGACGATTACGGTTTGCCCCACCTTTCGGCATCGCAGACTCCATAAAGTCTTCGCAAAAATTTTTCCATATTTTTCGAACAGTACTTCTAGAAATACGAAATTTGGTCGCTATTGCCTCGTACGTTCCAGGGAAATATCTCGTTGCGATATTTCCCCCATTTAAAACGATTTCATCGATAATGCCCTTCCTTAAGTCTGTGCTTAACGCTTTTCCACTTTCGTACGTCCTACCACGCTTACTAAGCGGCATGTTAAAATTAACTTAAGGTATAAACAATGTTTTTGTCCAGACTTTTGTGTAATTGTAATATTGTATCTGTGGATTTCGTAGTGATGATTTGAGTGACGTTTTAGATATTAATTTTCAACTGTTAACTCATTAGAACTGGCCAATCAAAACATACGCGTTTTATTGTTGGCTAATTTTATTCAGTAAACACTGTGCTGGCGAGTGGCAAAGTGTGCAGTAAATGTAAAAAAAAAATTAATATACAGCGTTTCTTACGTTGATAACAACCCGTGAATTGTTACGTTGGCAATAGGTGAACGTAACGTTGAGTAGGGATGAACGTAACGTTGAGTATGGGTAAACGTCACGTTGACTGCGAGTAAACAACGATAAAAATTCGGCGCGCGGCGCGTTTGATTGCAAATAGCAGTAAGCCGGGCGCACACACAACGATTTTACGGTAGTTGGTCCATTCAGGTTCAGACATATAGGCAGCCCTTGCCCAGACATGTTTTCCTTCTCGTGGCGCTCGCGCCTCGCGCGTGTACGCGAGTCTACTTGGTCTAATATTATGACCAAGTATAGATCGCCAGTCGTCACATTTTGATGAAAACATCCATCTAGACAATCTAGACAGGAATGAATCGGCCGACTAAAATCGTCGTGTGTGCGCCTAGCTTTATGAAATAAACAAGATTGGATTTTTATATCTACACAAAAAAGGATTATGCATCAAACAACGAATAGGTATGTACATAAATCTTATAGGTAGTTCAAAGGGCCTCTAGAATTTAACTGGCTTTAATAATATATTTGCATGTGTATCTACATAAATAATATGCAAATATATGTCACATGCGTTTCCATTTGCCTTTTCATTCCGAGCCTATCGGCTTTCTACTTATAAATACTTATGTGGTAAAGCTTGTAATTGCGAATTATGAATTATCTGACAATATTCTTTAAACTTTAACGTTGGACTATGTTTTATATATATTCACTCCCTGAATGATTTCTATATTAAGCGATTGAATTTTGATACGGCATGTCACAACACAATCTCATAATTTATAATTGTACATGTACAATACAAACAAATGGTAGCATACAGGTGAAAATATTTGAAAGTTTCTCATTTGGCTTAGGGTTGTACAAATACTTTCGTTAAATATGATTCAGCTACAACTTTGAACTAAAAAAAACAGGGCTACACAATAGCCCTGAAAATCGTAATGAGCGTGATAACTCTGGATAACTCTAACGTTGACCTTATCATGATGCTAATAAGCTTAACATTTGCCTTATCATTCGATAATTTTGAGCAAAGCTCTCTTTATTATTGTATAAATGTGTACCAAATGGCACTGAATAGTCACAATGCATATCGATGACTTATATTTATGATGATTCCTCTGATGTAAAGCCATAATATTTAAAAAATATAGCATCTTAACATTGACCTTATCATTATGCTAATTAGCTTAACATTCACCTTATCATTTGATAATTTTGAACAAAATTCCCATTATTTTGTGGTAAAGTGTACTAAATGTCACCATATAGTCACAAGACATATTGATGAGCTATATTTATGATGAATCTTCTGATGCAAAGCCATAATATTTAAAAAATATAACATCTTAACATTGACCTTATCATTATGCTAATTAGCTTAACATTCACCTTATCATTTGATAATTTTGAGCAAAACTCTCTTTATTATTGTATAAATGTGTACCAAATGGCACTAAATAGTCACAATGCATATTGATGACTTATATTGATAATGATTCCTCTGATGTAAAGCCAAAGTATAGAAAAAATATAGCATTTTAACATTGACCTTATCATTGTATTTTGTTGTATAATGTTCACTCCCCCCTGGTAAATGGTTCTTTTGCAACAAATAGACTCCTTAAGTAGATAAGTTGAAAATAATGGGAAAATAAAAGTGGCATCTTAACATTCTACTTATCATGTAGTGTGGACGCGGACGGGGACAGGGACGGGGACGCGGACGCCAAGACTATAGCAATAGCTCTCTTGCACTAAAGTGCAGGCGAGCTAAAAACCTGTGGTTGTGTTTTAACACACACCAATCAAACTAATTTCGAATGACATAAAAAAGGAAGGATAATGCTTTGGATGATGCCATCATAACTGTGAGATTTACAGCTTATTAGCATCTATTTTTTATAATTCCTGTCTTTATTTGCAGTATGCTAACCCTAGAGAAGTTCTACTTTAAGGCATATGCATTTAACACTGAAGAATCTTACTACAAATTATATATACACCAATGCATGCTCTTCTACAATTCAACCCCATAAAAAAGTATCCCAGTTTGTGTAAATTTACAAAATGGATACCCCTGAGTCTAGTTTTAAAATCCCTGCAATTTTTGACAGTTGCAAACTTCATATGCAATAAATTTCATATGCCAAGGAATTAGGAATTTCAGCATTCCAAAATTTGGAATTTACTGTAGTAGATTTTTTATTGGTTATTATAAAAACTTTCATTGATTATATTTATTCAACTTTTTGAACGTAAATGAAAGAACAATTTGAACATACATACATACGCTCTATTTAAACACGGAAAGAACAGATAACCCGGGTGCACGAAACCTCAAACCTGGTATTAAAGTCTAGTATTGTTTAGAAATATACACACATAATTTTTGTATACACTGTGTGCATGCCCCAATAAATAATATGTTATAACGAGGAGTGACTCTATATCATATGGCGAACTGTTGTGAATGAACTGTAGTTACATTAATTTAAATCCAAACACTCACCAAACACAGCTAGTCTCCAACGCGTCGAATCATTTCATGAGAGAGGAGGCCTTCACTGATCGACTATGGTGCTGATGTTGGAACATAAGTTGAAAATTGAATAAAACTCGGTCAATTCATTGAAAATGACATAGAAAATTAAAAATAAACAAAATTTTAATTGGAAAATATCAAAACTTGGAAAATACAGATTCAAAATTCAGATTAAATTGCGATTTGCAAAACCATCCATAAAAGTAAAACTAACTTCACAATTCCCAGTGATAAATTCCAATGCTTCCACAACCCTTTCGAGAACTTTCTTTTTAAAATAGCTGAAATTTCGTAATTTTTTTTCTTAGTTCAATGTTCCAGACACAATAGCCCAAGACAAATTACATCCGCGTTAAAATTTAAGAAAATTTCAAAAAGTGAAAAAATGTAAATTTTTTTACACTACGTTTACCCTACTCCGGATCGGTCTGAAAACGATGCAAAAAAGTATCAAGCGCGTATTTGTTCGAAAACGTCAGCTTGCCGCAATTTTGGGAAGTATGGCAATGTTGTCCCAAAAAATGAACTCTAGAAGGAATGCTCGAGCTTGTTAGACAAGTCTATGGGACTACGATTAAAAAAAACAAAATCGAAAGAAGCGAAGGTATTGGACTCGTCCAGGTAGGACCAGTATCTGCTGGGAAAACATTATTTTGAGAACTTTGAATTAAGCAATAAAAGAATGTTTACTGTGAGCGACGATTATGTGTAAACGCCCGCAAAACCGCGCGGTCCGCGCCGGAATTCAAACGGACAAGTTAAGCGCAGTCAAATTCTGCTGTCACGTTTTCGCTCCAGAGTAGTGTAAACGTAGTCTCAGTCTCGAGAAAACCAACCTGTCAAATTTTCGTGTAAAAATTTGTAAAAAATCAATGTAAGTGAAGCTGAGCTTTTTAAAAGGGGGACATTTTTCTATTTTTTCACGTTTTTCCCGGACTTTTTAATTTTCAGTCTTTTCAGGAGACACAGGTTTTTAAATTATTTTTTCCCTTGTGTTTTTTTTTTCATTTTTAAGTACTTTTGAAGCCTAGAATTTATTAAAATTGACCGACTTTTTGTCTTTCTCAGTGTTCTAAAGACCAACTAAATATGCTGAAAAACGAGAGAGATTAGTCTCAGAAAATATTTGGAATCATTTTTAGCATGTTAACACAGTTTTTAGAACATTTTCAAAAGTCGTCAGTCACTGCAAAATCAGGTAGACGTTTAATCTTATCAATAAAGGAAAGCGGACCAATCTACTCCCTTGTGGTACGCCAGCTTAATATTGCGAAAATTGGACATTTACCATCAAACTTAATTCTTTGTTTACGTGGAGAAAGATACGACGCTAACCAGGGCAACAAAGCAGGCCTTACACTCAATTTTTGCAAATCAGATAGAAGAATATTATGATCAATAAGGTCGAACGCTTTAGTAAAATCTAGAAATATGGCACGAATCACAGTCATCAGGATTTTCCATAGCTGCATACTTGTTATGTAGCATTTCGAAAAGTGCCAATACCAGCGGGGCCAGGGATTCCTCCAAATTGTCTTTCGCTAAAATTATATTTAACATCGTCCACCATCAATTCTAGCGCGTAGCTTTTTTGTATTTTAGAGAGAATGCTTGTGATCGCTATAGGTCTTGCTATGCTCTCAATATCAGTACAAGATTTTGATTTCGGGATTCGACATATGTTATAAGCTCGAAAAAATCTCGACAAAAGCTCGACAGATCTCGACAAAACGTTTATCACGAGAAAAAGAGTTAATTGTATCGGTGAGAGGGATTGCAAATTCTTTCGCGAACCTTCTTATTACTTTTGGTGGCGGGTAAAAGGGACCTGAACATTTGTTGACATTAATCTGATAAAGCTTTCTTATAACAGAATTTCTTGATATAGTATAGGAAGTTCTAAATCTTCACCTCAACAACAACAGGGTGGTGCTCTTGTTTCTATTTCACAGGAAAACGCTAATGCGATTGGATAAGTGGAAACAGATATAGGCTGCAGCATTCGGTAGCTTGAGCAGAATATATGTAATTTTATTGAAATCAGGTTTTACCCAATACCTGCTAGTTACGCAACACTTTAGTACACAGTATATTTTTGTTTAATTAAGATTGAGGGTCAACAGTGCCTGGATTATTGTTGGAATACATTCCTATTCTACATCTCGCGTATCAGACACGCCTAAAAATAAAAAACTATAAACAAGTATGAATTATAAATTATTAAAAAGTGTTCATATCACGTTTGAAAGTCCTCTGACACAAGTGGAACTCATCTGACACAATTGTCACAGGTGAAGAGGATTGTCACAGGTTTTAATAAGAGCATCCACATGTGAACTTCAATATGAAGCTATGTATTAGCTACTGTTTAATTTCTCAGTGGTCGTCTCTTGCACTTTAAAAGCATATCAGTCAAAATTTCAACTAACTGATCATCATTCGATCAACTCATTGTTTTGTAAATCTGGAAGGTTGCGATTGGCGACACGTGTTTATTAATTCCCAATACACCGAGGTTCTACAAGAGCGGTGTTTCTCCGAAAGCTTGTTAGCCAGGTCACGTGCTTCCAGCAGCATTTTAATTGATTCATCAAAGCGACGAAGAGAAGCAAGGCAAGCCCCACAATTCTTGACCAAGAACACAAACATATCATCGGAAACAAGATTCAGTTCTTTCCGTAAACTTATAGCATTGGTGTAATACGTCAGTGCTTCTTCATTCTTATTCCAATCTGAATATAAGTCTCCTAATAATCTATAGAGATTGCAGTTTGTTAGTTTGATTGTTAGTTTGTGCTGGCCCAAAAGCTCTTTGACCAACGACAAAGCTTTGCTGTAAAATAATTTCGCGCAATTCATGTGTTCATTGTATCTTTCTTTGTCTTTGTCTTTGTCTTTGTCAAACGCTTTCTTAGCACGGCTCTTTTTCAGCTTTCCAAGGTTTATCAGCATATGCGCCTTGGCCACTTTCTCGATATTACTTGGTTCTTTGCCATCAGGTGAATGCAGAGGATGATCTTTTAGAAGATCAGAACAGCGTGCATTTATTGTTCTGCCGATGTCAGAGTCAGCTAAGAAATAGTTACAAAACATGTCTAAAGACTTCTCGTCTTTCAAAACGTCTTTATTCTCCTGAAATGCTGCCTTTATTCTTTTCTCTCTCTCGATGTATTCAGCAGATTTCCGCGCTGATTTACGACCCTCTTGTTCTGCCAGCAGACAATGGAATGTGATTTCAATCGCTGGTTGTTGCCGTCTTTCAGCCAGTTTAATACAAGACTCAAAGAAATTTCTTAAAACCGTGGCTGAGACAAAATCCAAGCTGAAGTGGTAAAAGAAGCTAGATGAAGACTTGTAAATCTCACTACTTGTCAAGATTTCGAGGATGTTTGGTTTCAATATGATGGTTTGATCTTGGGTACAGATTTTTAACGTTTTCTCAACATTGTGAATGTTCCTTTTCAGCGATTCTCTGGCTTTAGTAAATCCATTGTGTGAATAATAATCCATGGTTAACGAATGGCACATCGTTAGAAAAAGTTTCGCCAGCAATCCCTGAGCTATTGCCTTTTCAAATTGAAAGTGGTCATGATCAGCTAAAAACCGTCTAACGAAGGGATGAATCACGAAGTTCGTATCATCAGTACCTTGTATAAAACCTCGACAAACGAGATTTTTCAAAAATTCGAGGGTTTCCAAATTACTACTTCTTTCAATTACCTCTTTTGCATGATCTGTCTCAAAATTCCCATCAAACACCGAAAGACAAACCAACGCTTTCTTATCGTCATCACTTAACTTCTGAAACGAGAACTCGATGACTTTTTGAACACACTGTTTGGAGTCGCTCGATGCTTCCATAGGATTCTCTCTTAACCACTGTACCAACTCTGAAGGATCATCGAGGTTAGGAATCAGTGTTCCTGCCACACACAGGGCGAGAGGAACAAAGCCACACAGGTTAGCCAATTCAGACAAACGTATATCTTCAATTTTTTCATCAGCGCAACACTTTCTCAAAAGTTCAATACTAGATTTTACATCCAACACTTGTAGTTGGTGGTTTACTACAGTTTGCCCAGGGATTAAGAATTTTATTCTGGATGTTGTTAGGATCTGCAAATATTCGCGTGATTTTTTGCGCAGTGTAAGCAGTAATTCAATGAACTGAGGTTTCACATCGCTCCCAAGCAGCTGCTGGACGTTATCCATAACAAAAACAACTTTCTTTTCAATGCTTTTCAACCAAGACAATAACGATGATTCAGGGTCTTCTCCAGGAACAATGCCAACGTAATGACAGAGACGTACGATTACCTCAGAAACAGTTGAAGTATTTGACAGGAACGAATAAATGACGTCAGTACTTTGGCTTATGTGATGAGAAACTTCAATGGCAACAGTGCTCTTGCCAAAACCTGGTTCACCGACAATGGAGACAATTCCGCAGTTATTCTTCATCAAGGAAGTATTTATTCGGTTGACTTCAGCGTCTCGGCCAAGAAATGTTTGTGGTTTTCTGGGTATACAGCTTTCTATTCGAGTCCTTACATGAACATCGACTTTATCTTTAAACGGCTCGATAATCCTTAGCATCACAGTATATTCCTCTGCCGATTTTATAATTTTTTCCAACCTTTTTCTGTCCTGGAAGTGGAGAAACCTCTGCATCTTCATCGCCTCTTTGGCATGTATTGCAGCTTCTTAGCAATCAGGTTTAAAGTCTCTGTAAGTTCTAGCTAACTCGCAACACACCTGGGCTCTGCATGGAGTGTTTCTCTCAACGAGTTTCTCAGGTATAATAAGAGCTTCCTTTAGCGTTTCCACTGATTTTTCGTAGCGACCATTATACGCCAGGGACGCTCCGAGATTCTTGAGCAATATCACAAATTTCTCGTTAGAATCAAATTTCAGTTTCCTGTGCAGATTTATGGCATTAGTATAATGTGTCACTGCTCCGTCGTTCTTAAAACATAGGTCTCCTATAAGTTTATGGAGAGTGCAGGTTAATTGGTGATCTCCCAAAACCTCCTTGGCAAGAGATAAAGCTTGATTGTAACAAGATTCTGCAAAGCTCCTGTATTTATTCTTTGTTTCATGATCTTTTCTCGGCGTTTTATCTGCTCGCATTTTGCTTAAATTTCCACACTTCATGAGAATTTGAGCCTCGGACGATTTCTCGATAGAGCTCAGTTCTGTGTTTTCAGGCAACGGAGGGAGATCATCTTCCGTTAGACCGGAAAGTTGGCTATATTGTGTTTTAATGTAATATCGGGCCAGTAAATGGCAGCAAAAGCAAAATATATATTGAGATCGATATTCTTTCAGCAGCGCTTTATTCTTAAAAAAAGGCTGCGTAACACTTTCAATTCTTGTGGTATATTCTGTAGATTCCCATGAAGAATAACAATCCATGGTCAATGAATGGCACATCTTTAGGAAATGACTGACCATAAATCCTTGAGCCACTGCCTTTTCATCATGAAACCGGACATTACCAGACAGGAACCGCCGGATGAGCGAATGGATCACAAATCGCTTATCACTGGTATTTTGTATTAAACTTCGACCAACAAGATCTTTCAAAAAATCGATGGTTTCCAAATCAATTCGCCCAATTATCTTCTTTGCAGATTTCATTCGGAAATTTCCATCAAATACTGAAAGATAAACCATAGCTTTTTTATCTTCACCATTCAACATCTGAAAAGAAACTCGAAGGCTTGCTGAACAGGCTTCAACGCTTTCATGGATGGCTTCTTTCGTAACAATTTTGTAAACTTCAAGGGGTCATCAAGATCTTGAATTCGTTTTCCTGCGAGACACAAAGCGAGAGGAAGGAAGCCACACAGTTCAGCCAAGTCAGAAAAGTACGTGTCTTCAATTTCGTCATTTGGGCAACATTCTTTTAAAGGTTCGACACTAGAGTGTCGAAAGTTCGACCGCGGCCCACCGCTAGTTAAATGTCTTGGCTTTATCAAGCTCGGCTTGGAATCCTATAATATACTCCTTTTCGAACTCACAGAACCGAAAAGGATTTAAAAAAGAGCTGTCGAGATTTCTGTGCCTGTGTAAGTTGACATGTGGATAGGTAGACTTAAACCATGCTGTCTTATCAACGGGTTTATTTAACAATTATTCGCCGAAGGCGAGGTGAATATCGCGTAATAATCCGAGGTCAGAATGACCAATCAGAGACCAGAATTCAATAATCACCGTGAAATTGGGCCTGTTATCCAATTTGCGTGACTATCTACATGGGCTTAGAAATATGTTAAAGATTAGGTCGGGGGCCGCCGATCATGAGGTGCCACCATGGTTGACGTTGAGCATGAAATTCATTCGATTAATTCGGAAATGGTTCGTTCTGAAATTTAGTCGCCTGAAGATTGCCACTCTGTGGCATGAAACTCAGCATAGCGATGTCAAATTTTTAAGAATTATGAAATGAATAAACATCACTCTACTAGCTCGCAGTATTGATATATTATTTCATAGGAAGAATTTCTTAGTAATTGTTTATATATATATTCCATAATTGTTGTTTGAAAATACAAATGTACGCACTGATGTTTGAAAATACAATTTTTTGTCTCGACCAATCAAGAGCTTAGTAGTTCACGAAGGCGCATGCGCACAACGTAGAAGACCGTCCATCACGTGAGGTCCATAGCATGATGGCGAATGACATCACATTGCACATCATGGGTGTAAATATCCGCTTCGCGCCGCCTCGGGGATGACTTTTAAGATCGCATTTGTGTCAGGGACACTTTTTTCGTTACCCCCAACCCTTTTCCTTTTGGTTTCCCGATTCTCCATTTTTGGTTTCAAAGACAACCTACACTGAGTACCATTTTCACAATTTATTGTGTGTTGTCTTTTATTGTTAAAAACATGATCTAATCTATTGTTCAATAAAGTGAATAAATCTAGTCCAATCTATTGTTCAATAAAACGCCTTGATATAAAATATTTTACTATATTAATAACAAAACACGTATACGTCTCATGCGTTCTAAGGGTCCTAAAATGTACAACTCAATCAATTTTTTCCAAACGTTGAATGCACATTACAGTCGCGGAGCGTTCTATAACGCCACATTCTCCTCTGGCTCTGCCTTTTCAATAATAGTTTTCAAATCTTTTACCTGACGCGAGCCCAACAACTTGTGTATCTTGTGCATCTCCATAGCCATTTTAGCGTACTTCACGGCTTCTTGGCAATCAATTTCCCCTTTGCTATAAGTAATGGCCAACTGATAATACACCAATGCTCGACATGGGGTGTTCTTTTCATCGAGTTTGTCGGCAATGTCGCGCGCTTCTTCTAACCTTTTCACTGATTCATCAAAACGACAGAGATAAGCAAGGCACGCGCCACAATTCTTCAGCAAAAACACAAACGCCTCCTTAGAATCAAGTTTCATTGTCTTACGCAGATTTACGGCATCAGTGTAGTACCTGAGTGCTTCTTCGTTCTCACGCAGGTTAAGAAATAAATCCCCCAACAGTTTATTGAGACTGCAAGTTAATTCGTGGTCGCCCAACACATCCTTGGATAACGACAAAGCTTTATCGTAAAATAATTTGGCAGAATTCATGTATTCATCGCACTTTTCTTTGTCACTGCGGAAAACATTTGCACGTTTCTTGTTTAAATTTCCTCGTTCCATTAAAATATGCGCCTCGGCAACTTTCTCTGCAGTACTTGCTTCCTTGTCATCAAGTAACGGTAGCATATCATCTTCCTGGGGATCAGTAGTTGGTGCACTTGTTTGTTTGTCCAAATCATAACGCGCGAATAAATGATAAGAAAACATGAATAAGGCCCGATCCTCTCTCAGTGCAGCCTTATTTTTGTAAAATGCTGCCTTAATGTCTTCCATTCTTTCAGAGTATTCCAGAGAATTCCATCCTGATTTACGACTTTCTTGATCAGCCACTAGACATTGGAAACGGATGCTTATACTTGGCTTATTTTGACTTTCGGCTAGATTTATACAACATTCGAAGAAATTCCTCAGAACCGTTACAGAAAGAAGGTCCATGCTAATGTCGTAAAAAAGCCTGGACGAAACGTTATAAAGATCACTACTTGACAACAGCTGCAGAATGTTTGCGTTGGTTGCTTGATCTTGGCTGCAGATTTTTAACGCTTCTTCGACATTGTGAATATCCTTTTTCAGTTCCTCCCTGGCGTTACTAAACCCGTTTAAGGTATAACAATTCATAGTCAACGAATTGCATACCTCCAGGAAATATCTCGCCATCAAATCTTGTGCCATTGCCTTTTCCTCTTGAAATTGGTCGTGATCAGCCAGAAACCGGCGAATAAGTAAATGAATCACGAAGCGCCTATCATTAGTTTTCTGTACTAAACTTCGCCTTACAAGACTTTCTAAGAAATTATCGGTTTTCAACATACTCTTCTTGATTATCTCTTTTGCAGAGTTTCTTTGAAAATTTCCTTTAAATACCGACAGGCTAATAAACGCTTTTTTTTCTTCATCATCGAGCCTTTGAAAAGAGAACTCTAGGGCTTGTTGCACGCACTGGTCAGAGTTTCTCAATGCTTCCATAGGCGTCTCTCTTAACCACTGTATCAGCTCAACCAGGTCGACCTAGTCTTGAATTCTTGATCCTGCGATACACAATGCGAGTGGAATGAAACCGCACAGCTTAGCCAATTCAGACAAGGATGTTTTTTCGACTTTAACGGGACAACACTTTTCTAAGAGTTCGACACTTGTTGTTTCATCCATCTCTCCTATTTGAAGGCTTTTGGTTTGCGTTCCTGAAATTGAGAACTGTGTTCTTGACGTTGTTAAAATCTGTATATGTTGCTGTGAATTTTTGCGAAGCGTACGCACTAATTCAAGAAAGTTATGCTTTACATGCCGTTCAAGAAGCTGCTCAATGTTGTCCATGACTAGGACAACGTTCTCCTCAATACTCTTCAACCAAAACATCAACGACGATTTAGGATCTTCTCCAGGAATGACGCCAACGTCATGACAGAGACGCATTATTACTTCAGGAATAGTGAAAGCTTGTGACAGAAACGAGAAAATGACGACGACGTCATTCTCTTTGCTTATTAAGTGATGGGAAACTTCAATTGCAACAGTGCTCTTGCCAAAACCCGGTCCACCAACAATAGAAACAATTCCACAGGCATCGTGGACTAAGGAAGACACTATTTGATTTACTATAGTGTCACGGCCAATAAATAGTTCTGGTTTGTCAGGAATGCAGCTTTTTAGATGGGACTGTCTATCAGTTCCTTGAACATTGACAATACCTTGTCGATATTTATCAAAATTTGTACTGGACTTCTCCAATCTGAATACAAAAGTAAAGAATAAGTAATGTCGAGTCATTCTCACCCTGGCAACTCACTGCCTAAATTATGACCACAGAACGTAGATTTTTTGCGTGGATCCTAACTATAGTCTATATACACGAGTAGTATTTAAGGTTAATTCCAGTCCAAACTTCATTTCACTTTTAAGCCATTCTACTTAATACTAGTTAATGACATCAATTAAACAAAGGTAAAGAACATCTTATATATACGTACTTTCGTTTTATTTTATCCTTCGTTTTGTTTACTTCTTCCATGTTCTTTATCTCAATCTCTAATCCTTCTATTTCAACTCCAATTTGCGAAAACTCTGTAAGCAAACGTTTTTTCAGCCTTCCAGATTCAAAATCATCCAAAACCTCCAGAAATCTTTCATCTGTAAGACAGTGCAGTGGAACAAGGAGACATCCTTGGCTGATCTCCCCAAATTTCTGATCATCTTTTTCATCGCCGAAACCTCTTTTAAGAGTGTCTTGGAAAACGGACGGGTGAGCTTTTGTACATGCATTGAAAATGTCGATGAGAGTAACAGTACCGAGTCCAATATCTTTAGCCAGTCGCACTTTTTCTGCTGTAATTTTGAATGTGATAATACATTCATCATTGTTCACAGCGGGACCCAGAGCGCCTAGTGCTGCAAACCCTCGATTTTCTTGCATAGTTGCTGAACAATTCCGAGAGAAGAAAAAATAGAGAAAAGTCATTGTAGAGTAGAACCGAAAAATCTCATATTTTTGTATGCATATCTTTGTATTTTAAACTGCAGGCATATTGTTAAAGACTTTTACAAAAAATGAAAAAAAACCCGAAATAGAAATATGTATATTTCGACAACTAAAACATAGGTATATTTAGTGACGAATAACCTTGCGACATCAAAAGAGAAATTTCTATCTACATATTTACTATTGTTATATTTATACCTGCATTGGAATTTTGGTTCCTAATGACATTCCTATTAATTTCATCAAGTTTTTGTATAACACTTTCTTGACCATCCGTTAATTTCGTTATTCCTTTTTCTACCCTTTCCTCAAGAAATTTTTTGCTCTCCAGCACGACAGCCTTAATTTTTCGATTCAACTCATTAACCCTTTCAGTTGGAAAGTCGCTCTCCTTAAGATTACCAATATGATCAACTTGGTCTGTCGAAAATCCAGTTGCGACAAAAGCACCCTTAGCAAGTTGAACATAATAATCAAAATCATGTTTTTTTAAGATTGACTTAGGCGAGTGACATAAGCAGTTTCTAAGCAGTCGAACCTGGTCGATTGCTAAAGTTATAATTTCATCCGGGTTCCCAGTACTAGTTAAACTTGTAAGCGAAGAATGGAAAGTACTGGGTTTCTTTCCCTTTATGAATTGATCACTAAGTGTCGTCTTGGTGGAGCCTCGAAAGGTCTTGGAGTAAATAGTTGCCTGGAACAGGGCTGTGCAATCCCAATCCTTGAACGATTTATTGGTTGGTATGGGAGTTTTACCGCCTTCGAGCGTCAAAAGAAGTGTGCGAACTGCGGGTGAGTCGTCCCAAACTTGGTAAGCAGGCAACGGTGCAATCTTCCTGTCCCACAATGCCACAAATGTCGAACGTAACATCTTTGGAAATTCATCGTGAACGATGGATGCAAATTTGAAGAAATTCAATTCTTCTTTTGAGAAGGGTCTTACTGCCATTTACATGCTTTTCATGGAAAACCAACGAATAAAGGAAATCGTTTAATTCCTACATCAAAGAAAATACAACATTATTAATAGTAACGAAACCTATGACTCAAATTTTATATAACCAATTATAATATAACATTTATAGTACGCGCGTGCTGATTGGTCAAAAAGCGTGTTTCTATAACTGTATAGAAACACGGGACTTTTCCCGCCGAACTTGACAAGCGAAGCGATGTAATGAGAATTTGTAATTGAATCAAGTTATAATATTTGTACAAAATCTTTTTATTGAGTTATATTATAAAAGAAATAGAAAAAATTTTTCCTCCTACGGGCTCGTTTCCCCACTAATTATTTCTTGTTCTCCCAAACTCCCACGCGTGTGGAAACACAGAAAATGTTTTCTATTTCTTAAGTATAAAGCATGGAGAAAACAAAGATTTTTAAGGTCACTTCGATTACTGGAGCCGGTCGTATAAAGTTCAACACGAGATTTTTATCTCTTTTAACTTATGGTACTCGGTGTTATACCCAGATATAAAAAATTTGGTTCTTGTCGTGGTCAGGATCTGTAAGTGTTGATTTGTATTTTTGCGTTGGTTAATTAAGCACTAATTGAGTAAACTAAGATTTCATAATGCTTTCAAGCAGCTGCTCGATTTTGTCCATAATAACATCAACAGTGACTCAGGATCGTCTCCAGGAATAACGTCAAACCGTCATGACAAACACGCGCCATCACTTCACGAACAGTCGACGCCAGTGACACGAAGGAGAAAATGACGACGATGTTATAGTCACTGGTTAAGTGATGGGAAATTCCAAATGCTAAAGAACGCTTGCCAAAACCCAGCCCACTGACAATTCCACAGTTCTTCTCTACCAAGGAGGATATTATTTGCGTCACGGCCAGTGAATATTTGTGGTTTGTCCGGAATGCGGCTCTTTACTTGGGACTGTCGATCAGTTTTTTGGACGTTGTCAAAATTTATTAATTACCCAAAGTGGCTCACTAAATTTTCAAGCTTTTCGCCAAAGTTTTTTATTTCTATACTGTTGGAACCTGATCTTCTTGTAGAAGCTTTATTTCTTCATTCATCATGTTGATGTTTGCAATTAATTTAATGCACAGTGAACTAATTTAAGACACTCGTGTGAGATTTCGTAGTCCTTTCAATTCTTTGATATCCTTCGCACATTACTTGACTGAATTGCAACTGAAAACTATGTCAAGGTCGGTAAGAAATTTAATAGGAATCAAAAGCATCGTTAAGAAAGTCTTCGGTTAACTTTTGATTATAGGTGCATGAGCCCAAGAGTTTCTAACTTGAACGAAGGTCTGTAAAGAGGTTGTCATCGATACGGCTGTCTGGAGCAAAAGTCATATTTTCCATCCTTCCAAGGACGTTCAGACATTCATTTTGTTGTCCGCAAGGCTGGACATAAAGAACTTGGCAACCCCTCAAGGATCATTCAGCCAGGTTGACGAGTCGGCGTTTTTGTACCACATGCTTCTGAACTTTCCTTTATCATCTTTTTGTTGGAATTTTGCCAGCTCATCATACCATCCTTTACAAATGGGACATAGGTCGCAATATTTCACTTTTGTTTCGCAGTCAATAGGGCTTGAGCATTGCCACAGTGGAAGGCCGCACAGCTTTACATGCAATCTTTCAAATTTAGGAAAGCTAGTAAACTGAGAATATTTCGCGAACTTTGCCCACAATCGCGTTCAGGGAAGCTCGCACACGCTGGTTCCTAATTCAAGGGACTGTATCTTTCGCATTTTCGTTTATTTACGTTGAATTCTCTATCTCATTACATTCAATTCTCGGTTCTAACAACAATCTATTCACGATCAGTTCACAATCTATTGACAATCTATTGACAATCTGCTCACAATCTGCTCACAATCACAATCTCAATCTCCCGCTTATACAATCTAGCTCTATATTTATAACAACTGGTGACTCCCTTTTGGCACATACAATTTGCAGTTCCGTTTTCTTTCGCCCACAAGGGAGCATTTCTGCGTTATCTTGTTAGGTCCATCGTCCGTTCCAACATAATGTTGGCAAAAAAAAATCTTTTACTTCACAAACAAATTTAACAATATTCTACTTGGCAATACCAACTATTTTACTTTTACGCAACTTTTATGACAAAATAACTAGTAAGCCAAGAAGTAAAGTAGTAAATAATTACATGGTTGTTGACATATTTATCCGACCGGGGAATGATACATATCAATCAAATCGCCCGACTTTTGCGAATTTTTGGTGAAAAAATGGTAATGTCATATGCACTTTAAAAAAGCTATTCAAAAATACTATCGAGTTACGCGAAAACGAGGCTAGTAATAAAATTTCAATGTCCCACTCAATGAGTGTGAGTGTGCTTTTTGAATACAGGCGTTAGTCACAGCACTTGGTTTAGTAAACTCCCGCCATATGGGAAAGTTGATTATTTGCTTCAAGTGGTTTATCTGTGATCGAGTAAATTTAACATCAGTGTGTAGCGGGGTGTCCATAAGGCTCTATTGAGACCGTCACCGTTTTTTATATATTTTCAAAAACTTTGTTGTTCATGTCAGAGTCAGCTTTTTGTGTATGCCAATTAATTATTCCGTAATTTGGAATAATATTTCAGTGAAGCTGGAAAGTGTCGTTCGTATTAAAATAACTTTGACAAGAATAAATTGGTCATTAATCTTTTTTAACATTCAAGGAAGAAAATGTTATGTTATTTGGAACATTGAAGAACTAACAGAAACACTATATTTACTTTACAAATAGAATCTGAATCTAATAATGCGGAAAAATTTGATAACTATAAGAAATCATATAATAGCACGTCTGACTCTTTTGTCTAAATTCTGGCACTCAACGAACTTGGATAGAGATTGCACAAACATGGAGGAAATGCTCAGATAAAAAAAAATAGACACCACACCAGAAATAAATTCTCCAGTGCATGAGTATTCAAATGTGATATTGGAACTTGCCAGGCAGTTGTTTAATTTCGTATGAAGCAAAAACCAATAATTATTTGCCAATTCAAAGAAGATGTGAGTAAAACTAATGTAAGTTTCTAAGCTCGTTTCAAAGTGAACGTTCTAAGTGACGATTTTCAATATTTGTCTTTCTTAAATTATATTTATACGTACATAGATAAAGGAAACATTGATTTTGTTAGCAGTTTTGTTTGATCACTGAAATGCTAATTAATCCCCTGGAAAGATTCAGACTTTAAATGGTACAACATACCATATGCTTATCCTTGAAAAATCCACTCTAGTATGCATACTTGAGAGAAGTTTCATCTCATATGACCCTATCTGGAGGATTTCTTTCAATATGTTTATCCTTGAGATGTCCCACTCCAGCATATGCTTCCCCTACTATATAACTCTGGGAAACTCCACTTAAATATATGTTATGCTTACCCTTAGAAAATCTCAATGCAATACTAGTATTAAATGCTCACACACCCTTAAGAAATCCATGTACCAGTCAGTAAGTATAATATGTATATATATGTTTACCAAAAGAGGTTCAAACATGTTCCAGCGTGAAGTATTTCTAGTACACCTGCTGTATTTTCGAAGTTTTAAATAAAATCAGGATGAAATTGCACACTTTTTACATCTTGACAGTCATATTGAAATTCACTTAATTGACAGTAGTGTTTAATTCTATATCAGATTTCAGAACCATCCTCAGAGATATGAAATATTAAATTCATAATTTAAATCTAATTCATAATCTTATATTGAACTCATTATAGTGTTTAGTGTTTACAAGTTTACAAGGTCACATTTTTGGTCACATAACTCACATTGTAGTGTATTATAGTGAAGAGTTGTCAAACAAATGAGATTACCGCTGGCGCTCTATAGATATACATCAAATAAATGTTTATTGCTTTCATGCATGCATGTTTATATTAGAGCCACGTGCACAGTTGATAAACTCATTAACATATACTCCTCTACATTGAAAAATAAATTCCAGCACTCAATGAACTTGGATAGAGATTGCACAAACAAAATTGTACAAATTTTCCTGATTACTTTAGAGGTCATAATGAACATAACACCACACCAGAAATATCTCCAGTGAGTATTCCAAAAGTGATATTGGAACTTGCCAGGCAATCATTTAATTTTGTATAATGCAAAAACCTATAATTATTTGCCTATTGAAAGAAGATGCGAGTAAAACTATTGTAAGTTTCGAAGCTCGTTGAGTGAACATTCTAAGCGATGATTTTCGATATTTGCCTTTCTTAAATTATATTTATACATGTATGTACATATATAGATAAAGTGCACATAACACATTTATTTTGATAGCAGTTTTGTTTGATCACTGAAATGCTAATTAATCCTCTGGAAGGATTCACATAATAATAATAATAAAGTCCACTTCATTTAGTTTTACCTTGTGATGTTCTAATGTAACATATGCCTACCCCTTCTATATGAGCACATGCTTTCCCCTACTATATATACCAGAACCATATGCTTAACTCTGGGGAACTCCACTTAAATATATGTTATTGTATATCCTTACCCTTAGCAAAATCTCACTGCAATACTAGTAATGCTTACCCGACCTTACGAAATCCATTCCAGTACTTACATAATACATATACATGTTTACCAAAAGAAGTTCAACTTCAAGACTTATAATGCATAGCACTAAATGACTCTGACAAATTCCATTTCAACATGAAGTACTTCTAGTACACCTTCCAGTAATTCCGAAAGTTTTTTAGATAAAGTTCAGGATGAGATTGCACATTTTTTACATCTTGACTGTCATATTGAAATTCACTTAATTTACAGTAGTGGTTTAATTCTATATCAGTATATCAGATTTTAGAATCATCTTCAGACACATGAAATGTTACATTCATAATTCAAATCTAATTCATAATCTAATATTGAACTCATTATAGTGTTTAGTGTTTACAAGTTGCAATGTCTTGGTCACATTTTTAATTACACAACTCACATTGTAGTGTAATATAGTGAAGAGTGGTTAATTGACTTTGCACGAGTTTTAAAAGTTGAATGACTTAGATATAATATAAATGAAAACACTTACCAAACGCAGAATAGAAGAAACAATTCACTGATCGAATTTTGAACCGATATTTTAAATTAAATGAAAAGGAAGTGATCATTTAATTTAAACAAACCACTTTAGAAATTCACTGATTCAGTTCAAAATCTCCTAACTTCTCTAAATTTAAGTGCTTCCACAACCTTCTCTCCAATTTTATTTTTGGCTTTTCAAAATCCATTTGGAAATTTGTTCCAGAAAGGTTTGTGAAGTTACCGAAAAATTAAACATCGTTATAAGGTGGGCTTTGATTTCTTTGTTTGAAAATGGAAAACAAAAAAACTTGACCAATGTATTTAGTTATCTCATACTCTACTGCACGCAGGCTAATGCGTAACTTTCTGAACACTTTTTCCCGAAAAGGCATGAGATTAAAACTAAACATAATTGCAGGTTTGGTGAGTCTGTGATTACCACACCTCGAGAGGCGGGAAACTTCCAGACTCCCTCGGTAGTTAAATTGAGAGCTCTATTTTCGACGCTTTTTCTTTAACCGCGAGCCACGGTTTGAGGTTCAAATTTTGCCGTTTGACCTTTGCGGTTCACGTTTTCAACCGCTGAAGGTGTATTTTCACGTTCCTCATTTACCTCTGCGCCTTGTCATTGCAATAGCGTTTCGTAATTCGTATCACAAATAAATACTCCTAGTAGACATCATATTGCCAATATTGGATATCCAAATTTTCTTTGTCGTCATTTTCTAGCCTGCTTAACTTTTAAATGAACGAGTTTACTGATTTTCTTTAAGAAGCGGCTACCACTACTCAATAACACGGTTGGCAATATGGTGGTTTACCATGGCATCGTAATTCGATAGTCGCTTATTAAAATGGAGCCGGTTCTTTTCAACCCAGATGTAAATGACATTTGATTTTTTAAAAATATGAAGCATTAGAAAAAAACAGAAGCAATTTAACAGCGAAACTCAGTGTTTAATGGATGTTAATTTTCAATAATTCAATCGTTCTAACCACTAAAACTCTCTAAAACGGGCTCACCTCACCTCGGTTGGTATAATCTACCAACCAAGGTTTTAGCAGGAAAAATCCTTGGTAATAATCCATGCTCAGAATTCTTGAATATAATAACTCCTACCCAAATACTATAACCCTAATGGATTAGATTATACACAGTACATGTCGGACAGTCCTTCTTCAGGCTTATGTTACACCAGTAAAACAGTCTGAACTCTGAAGCGTTGCCAGTAAGGATGACTAAGTAGAATCCCACAATTGAAACAAAGTTTTTCATTGAGCACTTTGTTAAACATTTTTATAAGCGAACATAGGTAAGAAGTAAAGTAGTAAATAATTACATGGTTGTTGACATATTTATCCGACCGGGGAATGATACATATCAATCAAATCGCCCGACTTTTGCGAATTTTTGGTGAAAAAATGGTAATGTCATATGCACTTTAAAAAAGCTATTCAAAAATACTATCGAGTTACGCGAAAACGAGGCTAGTAATAAAATTTCAATGTCCCACTCAATGAGTGTGAGTGTGCTTTTTGAATACAGGCGTTAGTCACAGCACTTGGTTTAGTAAACTCCCGCCATATGGGAAAGTTGATTATTTGCTTCAAGTGGTTTATCTGTGATCGAGTAAATTTAACATCAGTGTGTAGCGGGGTGTCCATAAGGCTCTATTGAGACCGTCACCGTTTTTTATATATTTTCAAAAACTTTGTTGTTCATGTCAGAGTCAGCTTTTTGTGTATGCCAATTAATTATTCCGTAATTTGGAATAATATTTCAGTGAAGCTGGAAAGTGTCGTTCGTATTAAAATAACTTTGACAAGAATAAATTGGTCATTAATCTTTTTTTAACATTCAAGGAAGAAAATGTTATGTTATTTGGAACATTGAAGAACTAACAGAAACACTATATTTACTTTACAAATAGAATCTGAATCTAATAATGCAGAAAAATTTGATAACTATAAGAAATCATATAATAGCATGTCTGACTCTTTTGTCTAAATTCTGGCACTCAACGAACTTGGATAGAGATTGCACAAACATGGAGGAAATGCTCAGATAAAAAAAAATAGACACCACACCAGAAATAAATTCTCCAGTGCATGAGTATTCAAATGTGATATTGGAACTTGCCAGGCAGTTGTTTAATTTCGTATGAAGCAAAAAATAATTATTTGCCAATTCAAAGAAGATGTGAGTAAAACTAATGTAAGTTTCTAAGCTCGTTTCAAAGTGAACGTTCTAAGTGACGATTTTCAATATTTGTCTTTCTTAAATTATATTTATACGTACATAGATAAAGGAAACATTGATTTTGTTAGCAGTTTTGTTTGATCACTGAAATGCTAATTAATCCCCTGGAAAGATTCAGACTTTAAATGGTACAACATACCATATGCTTATCCTTGAAAAATCCACTCTAGTATGCATACTTGAGAGAAGTTTCATCTCATATGACCCTATCTGGAGGATTTCTTTCAATATGTTTATCCTTGAGATGTCCCACTCCAGCATATGCTTCCCCTACTATATAACTCTGGGAAACTCCACTTAAATATATGTTATGCTTACCCTAGAAATTCTCAATGCAATACTAGTATTAAATGCTCACACACCCTTAAGAAATCCATGTACCAGTCAGTAAGTATAATATGTATATATATGTTTACCAAAAGAGGTTCAAACATGTTCCAGCGTGAAGTATTTTAGTACACCTGCTGTATTTTCGAAGTTTTAAATAAAATCAGGATGAAATTGCACACTTTTTACATCTTGACAGTCATATTGAAATTCACTTAATTGACAGTAGTGTTTAATTCTATATCAGATTTCAGAACCATCCTCAGAGATATGAAATATTAAATTCATAATTTAAATCTAATTCATAATCTTATATTGAACTCATTATAGTGTTTAGTGTTTACAAGTTTACAAGGTCACATTTTTGGTCATAACTCACATTGTAGTGTATTATAGTGAAGAGTTGTCAAACAAATGAGATTACCGCTGGCGCTCTATAGATATACATCAAATAAATGTTTATTGCTTTCATGCATGCATGTTTATATTAGAGCCACGTGCACAGTTGATAAACTCATTAAAATATACTCCTCTACATTGAAAAATAAATTCCAGCACTCAATGAACTTGGATAGAGATTGCACAAACAAAATTGTACAAATTTTCCTGATTACTTTAGAGGTCATAATGAACATAACACCACATTAGAAATATCTCCAGTGAGTATTCCAAAAGTGATATTGGAACTTGCCAGGCAATCATTTAATTTTGTATAATGCAAAAACCTATAATTATTTGCCTATTGAAAGAAGATGCGAGTAAAACTATTGTAAGTTTCGAAGCTCGTTGAGTGAACATTCTAAGCGATGATTTTCAATATTTGCCTTTCTTAAATTATATTTATACATGTATGTACATATATAGATAAAGTGCACATAACACATTTATTTTGATAGCAGTTTTGTTTGATCACTGAAATGCTAATTAATCCTCTGGAAGGATTCACATAATAATAATAATAAAGTCCACTTCATTTAGTTTTACCTTGTGATGTTCTAATGTAACATATGCCTACCCCTTCTATATGAGCACATGCTTTCCCCTACTATATATACCAGAACCATATGCTTAACTCTGGGGAACTCCACTTAAATATATGTTATTGTTTATCCTTACCCTTAGCAAAATCTCACTGCAATACTAGTAATGCTTACCCGACCTTACGAAATCCATTCCAGTACTTACATAATACATATACATGTTTACCAAAAGAAGTTCAACTTCAAGACTTATAATGCATAGCACTAAATGACTCTGACAAATTCCATTTCAACATGAAGTACTTCTAGTACACCTTCCAGTAATTCCGAAAGTTTTTTAGATAAAGTTCAGGATGAGATTGCACATTTTTTACATCTTGACTGTCATATTGAAATTCACTTAATTTACAGTAGTGGTTTAATTCTATATCAGTATATCAGATTTTAGAATCATCTTCAGACACATGAAATGTTACATTCATAATTCAAATCTAATTCATAATCTAATATTGAACTCATTATAGTGTTTAGTGTTTACAAGTTGCAATGTCTTGGTCACATTTTTAATTACACAACTCACATTGTAGTGTAATATAGTGAAGAGTGGTTAATTGACTTTGCACGAGTTTTAAAAGTTGAATGACTTAGATATAATATAAATGAAAACACTTACCAAACGCAGAATAGAAGAAACAATTCATGATCGAATTTTGAACCGATATTTAAATTAAATGAAAAGGAAGATCATCTAATTAAACAAACCACTTTAGATTCACTGATTCAGTTCAAAATCTCCAACTTCTCTAAATTTAAGTGCTTCCACAATTCTCCATCTCCAATTTTATTTTTGGCTTTTCAAAATCCATTTGGAAATTTGTTCCAGAAAGGTTTGTGAAGTTACCGAAAAATTAAACATCGTTATAAGGTGGGCTTTGATTTCTTTGTTTGAAAATGGAAAACAAAAAAACTTGACCAATGTATTTAGTTATCTCATACTCTACTGCACGCAGGCTAATGCGTAACTTTCTGAACACTTTTTCCCGAAAAGGCATGAGATTAAAACTAAACATAATTGCAGGTTTGGTGAGTCTGTGATTACGCACACCGAGAGGCGGGAAACTTCCAGACTCCCTCGGTAGTTAAATTGAGAGCTCTATTTTCGACGCTTTTTCTTTAACCGCGAGCCACGGTTTGAGGTTCAAATTTTGCCGTTTGACCTTTGCGGTTCACGTTTTCAACCGCTGAAGGTGTATTTTCACGTTCCTCATTTACCTCTGCGCCTTGTCATTGCAAGCGTTCGTAATTCGTATCACAAATAAATACTCCTAGTAGACATCATATTGCCAATATTGGATATCCAAATTTTCTTTGTCGTCATTTTCTAGCCTGTTTAACTTTTAAATGAATGAGTTTACTGATTTTCTTTAAAAGAAGCGGCTACCACTACTCAATAACACGGTTGGCAATATGGCGGTTTACCATGGCATCGTAATTCGATAGTCGCTATTTAAATGGAGCCGGTTC